CCTTTCGTGGCTTCATGTCACGTGCGAGCTCTTTGAAGTTTGAACAATAATATTCGACATCCAACTCGCCACAGCTCTCGCCACTGAATTGCAAAGGTTCGATTGAATGTGTCTTGTTTAATGATGGGGGTTGCCTTGTGCCAGGGACCCATATTGCATCCTTTCTCGTCAATTGCCGACCTTTTTACCATAACACGCGAATGTTCATGTTTTGATCTCTATGGTCACTGGTTGCATAATATCCAAAATCCGTGTGCTCCAGCCTTTGTGTGATGTTGGAGTCAGTTGAAGGCACCGCTATGCATACCGGTACCGGCACAGGTAGCGTCCCTCTGAGGTGAACATGTGGAGGGGACATACCGGTTGACGTAGCCGGGGAACCGGGGAAAAAGCCTGGCCCTCGCTAGCTTCCATATATTTGCTCCCTACACCAACTGTTTCCTTAGCATGGGAACTGGATGCCGTACTGTGCACACTGGATGCCATACTGTGCCCACCATGTCAAGTGCGGGTATCTTATGATTCGATTCTTGAAGGCTTCGGGCTTCGGACAAACTAAACGAAATAATATAGCTTGAGGTTTCCTCAAAACAGCCCTCCAGGTTAGTCTAATGAAGTCTGTTTTTTACAAACACCAACAGCAATTGTAACAAGAAACCTTCTCTTCTGTGCGATCACTTTTCTAATGCATAAAACCCTGGCGTGGTGACATGTGAGATCCATATGGATCCATAAAGATATTAAAGTGTTGGGGAGAGAATTGGAGAGAAGTGTTTTATAGGGAGATAGAATAGTTTTCTCGGATGGAGCTGGCTTCCACGGGTGCCCCCGATGTCCGCGATCCAGTAGCTGAAACGAATGATCAATCCATCCTCTTTTCAGTGGCGAAATCTTTGTTCCGCTTTGCTACCGTCGAAGTTACCACCCTACACCACCACAGGACAATAGATGGAGCTAACCGCAAACAGAACAAGCATGAAACGGAAACCAAAAGCTTATTGCCAGAGAAGTAAATAAATAGGGCGCGTTCTTTTAGGGAGACGCTGGGTTCGCTGCATGTGGCACTATTTAGAGGCAGTTCTTCGCGGTCAACAGTTTTGTCGACACTCCTACATGTACTAGACCACCATACACCATACCACAATCTCTTTTCATGCCACAGTTCTGCTGCCTCGTGCCACTCGGCAACAGAACAACAGAACTCCAGCCTGAAGGGTTGTCTCGTTGTCTCTGTCAATCCCAGTAAATAATTATTTAGTATTCTCACTTTTTGCTGCATAGATTTTGATTTTAAAAAATGATCTGAACACCTGAAATAAATAATGAGTTATGGCTGAATCGGTACAGTAGCCGTGGTAGAGTAGAGTCCACCCTCAAAGTGATGACAGAATTTGCTAGCTAGCGTTGAAAGGTGTCTGGTTGAGTGGTTGATGCTTGCTTATTCCTCTGTACACTGTAGACTACTCGTGTACGGTACATTCTACACGATGTATCACCAAGAAGGAGCACCGGCTGGTGGCTGGCACATGGAAGCAACCCGCGAAGGAAGGCACGTGTGCTCTATATGCATCATTCGCTGTGAACTTGCCGGAAGTTTGCTTTCTGCTTTTTATAAAAAATATTACCAGTATTATTTTAATTTAATAGTATGGATGCATGACATGCATGAGCTATGCATGTTGCGTGAGAAGCCAACAACATGTGCTCTGAGTTTTTGTGTTCCCAGGCAGTCAGAAGATGTCTCGTGTTTCACGTCCAATCGTAAAACTGTATTGTCCGAACTCCGAGGACCATCCGCACTCTCAGGCTGTCTACTAGCGGAAGCCTAGCCACCAATAGCAAGCGAGACATAGACTGTGCCAGCCGTGGTAAATTTCAACTGCCAATGAATGTGATAGTCCCCATCTATGGCCACGGTACATGTCTTGTAAGTGGCTGTGTGTAGTGGTCCCAGTGCCACAATTGCCCAACCAGCCATTGCAACAGGGAGAAGTTCCTCGAAATTGCAGAAGTTTGGATACAGAGAAGCAAACATGTAAAGATGGTGGATTGATGGCTGGAACAGCTTCCCAGTGAATCTTGAAGCCACAAAAGAGTTCCTGTAGACCTGTTTCTTCTGTAGCAACTGTGCGGTACTTGTAGGCGGCTTGCAACACCTCCATCTCCAAATACATCCGGTACCTACTGTGCATCCACCACACTCCGTGGATCCGGCTCCCGCCCCGTAATGGTCCTCAATTTCTTGCCCCTGATCCCACAGAACCTAGTCCTGAAATTTCGACAGTGCTTTGCTTAAGCCTGGTCCCTGTTGAATGTCCTCCTGCTGTTACGGTACTAAAATCTACCTACTCTACTATCCCCGTCCTAACCACACTCTGCAAAGCTTTGGGCGGCGGAGTCCCCAAAGTTTCCGGGGTTGGCGGAGTGCCGAAAGCGGAAACTTCAACAGTCACGGTCGGGTTGAGTCATTAGTTACCGTAATAAGGTTAACAATAACAGAGCGCAAATCTCATCTGGCAATTCGCCTCCTCTTCCCACCAGGTGCTTGCTGCTTGACCAGGTGTTGCAGGAGCCACAGCGAAGAAGAGAAACCTTTTATTTCTGCATTCTTTGCCAGACAGTGCGGTCAACTCAACTCACCTCCAGCGCTAGCAGGAGCTGAGAGAGGCACGAGATCACAAAACCCGGACCAACCTCGTTTCTTGTTCTTTTCTTGTTTCAACGGCTGTCAATGATGAAGGTTTTCCTCGTGGGCTTCTTGCTGGCCTTTTCTGCCACTTGCGGCTCGGCATGGCCCACTGCAGAATTGAGTTCTCGTGAGTACAAGACCATGTTGAAGGCATCCATGTTTGCCAGTCCTTCTGAAGATAAACGAGAAAAAACGGTCATGGCAGTCTTGGAGGAATTACAAAAGGACCTGACCTTGGTGGCAGCCGGGGCCAATGCAGTGGACACTCAAGGAGAGTTTGAGCTCAAGGACGATACGCCTCGATTGGTTCGTTACTTCGACACTCCCGGTGACTGTTTGTTGCGTCACAATGGCTTGACGGTCCGAATTCGACGTCCTTTGGATGAATGGTACAGTGATCCTTGGGAGGCCATGCTCAAGGCTTGCAGTGGGGATCGGTACCATACTACAGTACGGATGCCCTATGTGCAAGGCTGCAATTCCGAGGTTTCCAAGGAATACAAGAACAAGTTCGAGGAAGATATTGGCCATTTCGACTGGACGGGTAGTGTCTTTAGTTTCAGTCAGAAATGCTATGTTGCCCCGAAGGATCTGCCAGAACACAGCAGGGGTAACTTACAAATGGTTTCCACTGTATGGGAGAATACACAAGACTTCTTCCAGAATGATCTCGGATTTGATGACATGTCCACACCATTGGCTTTGGTCAGCAACACTACTATCACCGAGATTGCGTATGAAGACTTCTGGATCTATCTGGATGAGGATGACTATGATGACGATGATGCCATGGCACAGGCCAAAGTAACTCTCTGGTACAAGACACAGGATGGGATCATAACCGATGGTGGCGAACATAAATTGCCTGAATATACTGGGGTGGGGGACCCCATCGTCGCCGAACTGAGTTTTCGAATCAAGAGCAAGCACGAAGCATGGACGGATGATACCATCATGAACATGCACAACTTTTGGGAACAGTTGGGCACGTCTTTGCCCAAAAAGTGGTTGGATCCCAAAAGTATGACCAAGACATCCTGGATCTATCAGTATGATCCCGAATTTTGTAATCCCGAAGATTCGAATGGAGAGTCGAGTTGAGCTCTCGGATGGGCCGGGTCCTTACGACAATTCTAGATATTATCAACTGCATGGAATGCATACAGACACCAGACATTCATCATTAGAGCTCAGTCTTAGTTAGAAGTCACAACTTTCAAAACCAGGTGCCATCTGGAAGCATTGCCGCAGCATTCTGAAAGTAAATCAGAGTGCCCATCATCATACCTGTACCGGTAGGTATAAGAATTGAAATTGGGTTCGTCGGGTGCCCAAGTCTCGAGACTCTACAGTTGTTGTACTGGTACCGTCGATCCACCAACCAAATCTGAACGAAACGTTGGGTGGCTCCGGCCAGATCAAACCCATGGAGACCTATTTCGAAGACTGGAACGATCCAGTTCCTCTCGAATATTCTGGTTCTTCTGCACTTCCAAACACTGTCAGACTGTCACCAAGAGAAATGCAGTCACCTTGGGCAATTTCCACATCTCATTCAACTCACACCCCGGAGTGGACACGCGTGGTCGAACAAAAGCAACTGAAACGGAGAGATATCCCACTTTACTTGTAAAGCTTTCGTACTGCGCTTCATACCAAATAACTGTATTAACTAATCCAAGACGGGACAATGAGCCAACAACACGACCGCAAGAGAGTTGATTCTCTGTCTTGCACTGGCTCTGAAGGCAGCCCCAAAACAAAAGGTCGAGGCGAACATCTTATTGCCAGCGGACGTCCTCACAGCACAGTGGGCAGTTCTTTCCTGAGTGGAGATCATGGCATTTCGCCCGGGCTTGTTGCTACAGTCTCTAGCAAAGCGTGCCAGTTTGCCATGACTTTCGATGACAACGGAGACGACAATACTATTTACTACGGTCAAGACGGCTTGATCCGCGGCAACAAGATCGGTGAAACTCCTATCCGACGGCAGCAATCCACCAACAGAGGTGCCGATTCCAAGAAGCGCCGCCGTGTTTCCTTCTCTGAATTTGCTGGCTACGAAGCTACGAAGCCACGCCTGTGACTGCCAAACACAATTTGGAGCTAGCCGAAGACGACCTGGAGTATTTGAGAACCGTGGTCAAGTTGGTCGACGGTCCGGAGAAAGACGTGACCATGCCCGATGGAGGATGTACCATGACGGGTGAAGTTGAGGTTCGAAGTGGAACGAACGACACAGCTCCTTTGAATTGGGCAGCTGGCGACGTCTCGTTTGGCGCGAAAGTTACGGGACCAAATAGCTCTCTGACGAAGAAACCGCGACTTTTCGTCAAGGCACCGGCCGCCTTCCGCCTTCGGGTTGGCCACAAGATCGGGGTGGCTGTTTACCGCACGTTTGATATCACTCATGGAGATGCAGGAGCTCCAATCAGTGTCAGCCTCACCAATATTTACGGCCCGAAGCATCAAGTTTGTATTTACACGGGGAGTCACGGAAGTAGCGGAACAAAGTGACACGTTCTGCCACAGCATCATTACTTTTGAGGGTTGTTCTGGAGCTGTGGTCTTCTTACTTGATCAAGGTCAGGACACACCACAAGAAGTGGACGATGGCATGGCGGTTGGAATTCATGTAGGTGGGTTGGACGCTCAAATAGTTCTGTTGCAATTATGCGAAGAACGAAGAACCGTATCAACAATCACTACTGAATGAATGACCAATTCATGCACTTCTTTTCGTAACTTCGTAACACGTCGATCTGGATAGCCCTCTTCAAGTCAGTTGTTGAGGGTCGAACCAAGTCGCGTCATTTGGATGCGAGAATCTTCGACTCGAAACACTTGGGATGGGCATCAAAACATCAAGTCTTCCTTCAAGTTGTTGTTGAGGATCCAACCAAGTCGCCGTCATTTGGATGCGCAATTCTTCAATCTTCAACTCTCGAAACACTTCGGATGGCCACGATAACATCAAGTCAACTCTCCGCACCCGAAGCTGAATGCGGTCGCAGATCGTGCTTCAAGGTTGAAATCGTTTCCAAGGGTCGTGCGGAGGGGAAAATTGAAGGGCGGCCTGAGCTCTAGCCGTCTTTTCAGAAGCGGTACCGGAATGGCACGCTGTTTGAGATCTAGAATCCACCCAGAGGTCAGTGTGGCTCTCTGCACATCACTTGAAGGCAGCACGTGCGCCCAGGACGCTGAAAGCCACTACTGAGCATCAACTGCCGAGCGAAGAACAATTTAACCAACAGTGCAACCACTGGTAAGGTGTTCCAGAAAAGCAGCGAATTGATACTAAACTCTACATGACCTACAGAGACTCTACTTGAGCATCCAAAATTCGATTGGCTTCCTGATAGACCTCGTCCTCATACCAGGACAATTCTCGAAGTACCTCTAACTGCTCTTCGTCCAGTTCTCCTTTTGACACCACCCCGCTATTCAGGCGCTCCCCACCACCACTGCATTCATTGATGTATGGCTCCAAAAACGGAATGTACTTGACTATGGCAGCCCTCGTGTCATTGCACCGTTCAACCACACCCACCACACAGTGATCAGCAATCCTGGACAAGGTTTGTTTTGTGGCATGATTGGCCATGTCAGCCAAGTGTGGCTCATGCAGACGATTGACAATGAATTCATCATCACCATAATCACTGAATATTCTCATTGGCTCATTGAGACAGCCTTCACCATATTTGTTCATTGCTGTAGTGAGGTTTTGCTTCATGTAGATTGCTGGGATCGAAGCAAAGTTGATTATGTCATCGTTGCCATAATTCTTTTGAATCATTCTGTAATTCCAACAGGATTGTATTCGAGCTATTGGTTCCCGGAAAATTGTCAAACAGGTAAAATTGGCCATGCGAGGAGGTTCAATTGTTGGTACATTGTGGGGAGTATTGTGGAACAAGTAGAGTGTTTTCTGAAAGGAAGGATAGAAAAAGTGCCCACCATAGACAATTGGAATTTGTTTGTTTGGGAGATATCGGATATCACTGACCTGTGGTGTGTAATAGGTCTGGCAATGTACAAATTCTGGTGGTTTCTTCGGATTTGAAGCGTTGGGATAACATGGAATGAAGAAAGGTGCGGAGGCTTTCTTAGCAGCAATATGTATCTGATCTCGTAATGTTGTGCCTCCACATTTCCTTTGATGAAAGAAAATGAATGGTCGCTCCATGGAAGGAACAAGTAACGGCTCTAGTAGAGTAATGTTGTTGCTGTAGGTACCAATGAATCCTTGATGGTGCTTGCTGATATTGTGAACATCTCTGTGAAAACTCTTGAGTGCACCTTCTGCTATTTCTGACTTGCCTATGACCATAGCAAGTACAGTCAATAACAGGGGTATGGCAAGAAGTCGAGCATGCTTTGGCACTCCCGATGCCTGGAAGCGGCCTTGGCCCTTGCTTGTCAGACTCTCAGAATGCGAAGGACTAACAGGGTCTTCTGAAGACGACTTCTTCAACAATGCATCATCTTGTAATAATGCTACTGGTATCTCTGTTTCGAGTGGCGTCATGTTGCCTGTAATGGAGATGGCTACGATACGTACGGTGGTTCTGTGTAAAGGGAACTGAATCAGGCTGAAAACAACGTGCCGACTCTATTTGGGCAACGGTGCCTGTTACCCACAGTTTGATACCTATTACCAGTACCCCCATAACTTTCCTAGCTACAGTAGGGTAGTTGGACCGTTCACCAGGACGGCTCAATGCCACACTTGCCTGCACCGTACCAGTACCGGTACACCAGGACGGCTATGGATGTATTGTATGCAGGCCAATGACACATGCAAGTGCTGTCAGCATTCCCATGGGGGATGAAAAAGTCAAACAACCGAAAAGTTACCACAGAGTAAAGCCTGTGTTTTAGCGATTCGGCAGTTTGTGAGTAAACTTACTTAGTTCAGTCACTTTTTGCAAAAATCGTATGACAATCGAAAGTTACAGGGAAAAAATGTCCACAATTAGCTACCGGTAGCTAGAAGCAGCAAAAGGCTTCGAGTTGGTGGGAATGAAGCATCCAATTTGATCATCCTGGTGGAAGGATACCATCCACTTTTATGCTGCGAATGTACAATAACTCAGAACTACTACTAGCACCTAAAACTGCTGGCATAGAGACTGTTTTGACCAAGTTTGCTACATGTACCAGTGCCTCTTCTAATATGGTTATTGGATTTGTACATCCAGTAACCGATTGGCTGCCTGATAGATTTGGTCCTCGTACCAGGACAATTTTCGAATCACCCCAAGCTGCTCTTCGTCCAATATTCCCTTTGACACGTTGCCACCATTCAAGTGCTCCCCACCACCACTGCACTCATTCATATATGGCTCCAGAAATGGAATGTACTTGGCAATTGCAGCCCTGGTGTCAGCACAACGTTCAAAAATGCCTACCACACAGTGCTCAGCAATCCTTGACAGAGTTTGTTCTGTGGCATGGTTGGCAACATTAGCCAAGTTTGGTTCATGCAGATGATTGACAATGAATTCATCGTTACCATAATCACTAAATATTCGCATTGGCTCGTTGAGACAGCCTTCACCATAGCTAGACATGGCTGTGGTTAGATTTTGTCTCATGTGGATTGCTGGAATTGAAGCAAACTCAGTAACATTATTCTCCTCCCTGAGATTGTTGTGTTCCACCATTCTAAAGTTCCAACAGGATTGTATTCGAGCTGTCGGCTCACGAAATATTGTCAAACAGGTAAAATCTGCTGTAGGAGGTGGTTGAACCAGTGCCACATTGTGGGGATCATTATGGAACAGGTAAATGGTTCTCTGAAAGGAGGGGTAGTAGAAGTGCCCACCATAGACAATTGGAACTTTTCCATTTGGGAGCAATGCAGGATTACTGATCTGAGGTGTATAATAGGTCTCACAATCTAGTGTCTCTCTCCCATGCGCAGAGAAGCAGGGAATAAAGCTCTCAGCAGATATGTTCTTAGCAGCAGCATACAGCTGAGTCCTTAGCGTAGTGCCCCCACACTTTCTTTGGTGGAAGAAAATGAATGGTCTCTCTACTGATGGAGCTAGTAATGGATATATTCCTTGTAGGTTCACTTGTTGGCTAAAGTTCGGCTCAGCAGTGTGGCTCTCGATGGAGGCTTGGTGTGGGTGCCTGGAAATGTTGTCCGTGTCTCTTAGCATGCTCAGAACTACCCCCTTTCTTACTTCTGGCATGTACACCATCATTGCAATACCAGTTAGAATCAGTGGTACGACAAGAGACAGAACACGCTTGCCAGTTCTTGAGCGAAGGACTCCATTGTGGATACCACTGGCATGGCTCCGATGGTCGGAAGCGGAAAGTTCATCGCAGTCATCAGAAGGTATCTTTTCCAAACGCTCAATTCTTGCTACAGGTAGTGCTGTTATCGGTACCGACATCTCTGCTTGAGAGTGCATCATCGTGCTTCGATTTGAATAGATCGGGGAGTACTAGTACTACTAGTAGTTGTTGTGTGTTCAAAATTTTGGAAAAAATGAGGCGCGGCAACGCATTTTTGAGCCACTGGGATCCAGCACTCTAAAAAGACAAACGGCCGAAAAATTTGAAAAATGGAAAATCTTGCTGTGCACAAGCGGCAAGTGAGGCCAGCCATCAGTCAGCTGTGAGCCTTATAGTGGCTCTATTCTTGCTTCTGTAGCTACTAGCAGCTAGCTGCGATATAGATAGGTTGCTAGCTAGGTAGATGCACCGTAGCTAGACTACTACGTTTGTTCCAGATGAGATTAAAAGGTATTCTCAATCTTCTGTGGCTGGCAGCCAGGGTCAACACCAATGCTACTGGCAGTTCAAGCACTTCAACAGAAGGGATTTCATGCCAAGCTAGCTAGAAAGGTCTACAAGATTCGATTCTTAGTCCAAGCTACCGGCACAGACTTTCGTGTGGCATCATTCATACCGGTAGACTTCAATTGATCGCGAACTCCCAGCGGATCTTCCATAAACCTCCCCATCTCACAAAATCTATCATTAGCCTTGTTTGTAGAAGCATCTCAATCATTCAGTGGCTGATATCTGTATCGTTTATTTCTATCTTCCAAACAATGCGTCCACAAAGGTCCCTCCAGTCCGTGCCGTGTATTGATTGGCAAAACTAAAGGCCAGTGCCGTCCAGAATGCAAACAATGGCAATGCCATGACAACCGAGTCGACCACTTCGGTTTGCATGCTGCTGAGTTCGACTTCGTTGGGCGACACCACGACCGGTCCCATGCCATTTTTGCCTCCATGATGCTTTTCCGAAAACAAGGTGACATAGCGGGTGTAATAACTACTAGAAGGTTGTACCGGATCCTCCAGCCTCGTCCGTGGTAGTTTTTCGACAGCACCGGTTTCTTCGTTCATGCCTTGATCGTAGATTGTTTGTAGTTCGTAGGATTGAAATTGCCAAATGCCCAAATTGGGAATGTTGTTTCCTGCCACCACGGTCGATCCCACGTTAATGTCGGACGTGGTAGCGGCTTCGCCCACCGTCAAGAGCGCCTTGCGGAGTCCTTCGCTGCGATCGTCTTCTTCTTCTTCTTGCTGATCGTCAATCGCCATGAACAGTTGTGATGATCTACGTCCTGGTAGAATCATCATGTTGTGTGCTCGCTCATGGTGGCTAGTACACGGCTGTGAGAATGCAATGACAATGACACTGTTGGCCAAGCAGCCGCAAAGAAGGGCGAAAAGCAGCCCTATTGGTACACTGAAAACTCTCATTCCACTTGTCATTGGCTCTACTTCGGTATTGTACTGTTAGGCTGGATAGATACACGTAGAGTCTACTAATAATAACAATCGCAATGTTACCCAATTGCTGCTCTGGGAACAGATCGATAGCCTGGTTTGTGGACAAAGAAGAGCAATGCAAAAAATGAGTGACGTGGCTTCAAGAGGTTAGGATTGGCACTTGATAAATCGCTGAGTGCCGTATCTTTGCCTCTAAGGCTTTCCGCAAACCCAAACAGAGTTCGGAAAGGCTTCACAGCCACCGCGGAGCCACCGTCTCTCTCATCAAAGAAGGGATCTGTTGACAGTATCTGTTCCTTCTTTCAAAGCTTGAAAAAAATACGTTTCAGTTGCAAGAGCTGTTGGAAGTCCTTGTCTTCTGTTACGACTTCTAAAGATACCATAGATACCATACTGCCAGATCATTTACTTGTCCGGGAATATATATCATGGCGGAAGAGACCAACAGGAACAATAGCAGAAAGCTTCCGTCTTTCATTGAGGTGTTGGATAGCGACGACAGCGACGACGATGACGATGATGTACCGATAGAAGCGCTCGCAACGAGACTGACAAAGGAAGAGTTCCAAAGACGCGCCGCCGAGAAGAAGAGGCCGCCGGAACATGTGGAGATTATCGATGTGGATGATCAAATCTCTCCGCCCAAAAAAAAGAAAAAGCCTTCTACGGATGACAAGGATGACGATGACGAGGAAATGGAAGTTTGGGGTGGCAAAGGCGGCGATGATGTGGTCGAAGTGGTTCATCCATCGTCGTCGACCAAACAATCTAGCAATAAAGGTTCTATTCTCGATGGAGGAGAATCTACTACTCATAATAGTGCGGACGGCACAAACAACAACAACAGCAATGGCGAAGAGGAGTTTCAAGTGTTAAAATCCACGGGTCCACTGGCATTTGCCGATTTCCCTCATGCCCGAGAGCACTGTCTCATCCATCCCATGGCAGATGATCCAAACAAGTGTTGTCCCAACTGCTATTGCTGGGTCTGCGATACCGTCGTCCAAGAGTGCAGCGACTGGACCAAACACTGCATGGCCAAATCTGCCATCAAAAAATGGCAACGAGCCAGAGCCGCCAATCAACTCAAAAAAGACAAATCCAATCGACGAGGAATGCCCACGCGCAACAGTGGACGACGACAACCACCGCCACCAACAATAGCATCGGTAACCCGAGTCAAGAAAAGCCGCGAGAGGTGGCAACCGCCGGAACGAGCCCTCCTCCAGGGCGCCCTCCAGACCGAATCCGATTGGACCGCCGTACAACGAGCTGTAGGGACGCGGAATCTCACATCGATTCGATCCTGTGCACTGAGGTTCTTTCCAAGCTTATTCCGAGCATTTCAAGCACGAACTTTCTCTATTAGCAACAGGAGCACTGGGAACAACGAGTAAGTACATGTAGCGACAACCCACCCACGCATGAAAATGAGGAAACAAACCAGCAGTTCCTTCTGGCTGGCGCCCTATGAAAGAGGCTACACACCAGCGTGGCCTATTTTCGCGGTGGTCCGTCATGCCTTGATGTACGGTACTTCTACTAGTGGAATGTGATGTTTTGGCGTTACTTTTTCTACAGCTTCATATCATTATTTAGAACCAACAATTGGCCTTCTACCTGGGAGCTTTCTTTTCACATCTGTGTCTCGTGTAGTATGCCAACAAACTAGCTACCGCAGTCTCTTGTTGCACCTATTCTTTTCACTGCGGACAAAGAAAAGAGCAGGGGTAACTAGATCTACTTATTTGATGATTTTGCCGGCTGTATGTTCAACTTCCTTTAGTTCATTTCTATAGTAGGTACCAGTACTCGGCCACGACACAATCACCCAAACAAACAACAGGGACCCAAGCCTCCTTCCCACCATCAATTCTTCTTCTATCTATCTGTGTTTCATTCATTCAATCACTCAGATTCGTTCCACCATCAAGAGTTCTTGTCCTGCGGATATTCCGGCCTCCGCCAACGTCTTTGTCCCCACTGGATAGACCTTTCGTGGAAACCGTGTCACGAGTTGAAAGGGATGGGAATGGCTTATATTCGATGCCGCAAACGCAAATAGATCCTGAAGAGTGGCCTTTTCAATATCAAATCTCCGTCGCGCCGACGACGTGACACCATCGCCTCGAATTTGGATTGTGCACACTCCTTCTTTTTGATCGACGGGTGGTTCGGGAATCAATTCGATGGCAGTGGTGGTTACAGGTGGTCGAGCAACAGCAGCAGGAGGAGTGGGTGACGAGGATAATGTTCGTCCACCCGACAGAGTTTGTCCCGTGCGTTTGGTACTAGTTTCTTCCATTGCCGTGGTTGTCGTGTCCATTGTAGTCTGATCCTGTTCGGGAGCCTCAAAGTCCACTTCAATATCGGTATTGATACAAGTGACGGCATGATAGGTCGCCGGTAGAACTTTGGACACTGTCAAATCGTACTTGACTCCACGATGCCATGTGTGCACCGTGTCCCCCACCGACAGTGTGGCCCTTGTCCGAATCAGAGATTGTTCCAACACCATTTTGACGTCTTGCAAATTGTAAAATCCATTTTGAATGGCCTCCGTGGTTGGTTTCAAGGTGCATCCCTTGCCCTTGGGCAATCGTACCATGGTAATTTCCACGGCCATATCGGGTACATCAAAGGCTCCGTAGGCGACGTGTCCTGGTGTTTTGTTGTCATCATCGTCATGGACATTCATCGTGTCTTCGTCTTGACTACTAGCTGTAGCAGCCGATGGATCTTGCGTGCGTTTCAAGGGCACGACAAAATTCTGGTGTTCGGCACGACGGCGATGTTTATCAATGAGCGCTGCCGCAATGGGAGCTGGCAATCCGACATGTCCTTCTTCTTGTGTGAATTCCACGACCGTCCCATGCGTGTAGGTAATGTACTTGTGTGCCAATTCATCCAAATACGCTTCCATGGGTTGATCCCTGTTGTGATGGTCATCGTCATCATCCGACATGTCGTCTTCTTCGTCAGGCTTGAGTGTCTGCAAGAGCATGGATTGTGGATATTGATATTCCGGATGAACGAGCCCAATGCGAAACATCCACGGCGACGATGTCATTTCCTCCTGAGCCGTCAAGAATTCCAACACGGAAGAAGGCAATGCCAACTTGTCACCGTCTCCGTGAATCGACGTGGGCGCCAACTGTAGACTTTCAGAAATAGTAGACAACCGTTTGACCCCCAATTGACGATCGCACGCCGTCATGTATTTTTTCCAGTGCGCCTGTTGCCGTTGTGCACGCTGTCGTTCAGCTCGCATTTTTTCTTGCTGCTTTTTGCGATAGTCGGCTTCCCGTTTGGCTTTGGCCGACACGGCCACCGTCCTTCGACCACGCAGCTTTTGCTGATCGCGAGCCAAGCGTTGTGCAGCGTCTTCAAAGTCCATCATTGTATGAATCGAAGAGATTGTATTGTATTGTGTCTTTGAGTTTTTTGGTTTGGAAGAAGAAATTATGACCGTGGTTGGTGTTTTTGAAAGGAACATCACCGAGCACTTTCGATGTTCGCCTTGGCAACGCACGTGGGACTAACATTTGGTGAGTCACTATTTGCAGAACTTCTTCGAAAACAGCTCTGGCCGTCGTAGGTTCGCACGCTTTGACAGCCACGAAACCTTCATCTCGATCAAAAGAAGCTGCCACCAACCAAAACAACAACCAAAACAAAAGCTCCTCACTTTTTCTTCCACAACTCACTCTTCCAAGTGCAATCTACGGTACGGTATCTGTAGCTATCTATCCATTACAATAATTGTACATTGACCGATCAAGATGGGCGCCAAGAAGCAATCCGGGACAAAGCGCAAGGCTCAAGATGTCAGCCAACAAGCAGAAGTAAAGACGCATGTCGACAAGGCTCTCGCTCAAAAGGCGGTATCGGCTCTACTCCAGTATCATGCCAAGCAACAAGACGCCAGCGACAAGAATCAACTTCCATTGGGAAACGACGATAGACCCATTCATGTTCAATTCGGATTGGAACGAGCATCCAATCCCAATTCCTTCAAACCCATGAGAATCATGATTCCAAATCCCATTCATTTGCTTCAGAATACTACTAGTGACAACACTTCTACTAGTATGGATGGACCGGAAGAACCCGAAGTCTGTCTCATTGTCAAGGACAGTGCCAAAGCATGGATCCAAGAAATGAGATTTTCTCCCGAACTCGCCAAGGAATTGAAAATGGTCAAAAAGGTATTGACACTGACGGATGTTCGTCAAAAATACGCGCGGTACCATCAACGACGGGAATTGCTCCATCTCTACAATGTATTCATGGCCGACGATCGCATCTTGCCCATGCTGACTGCTGCGCTGGGCAAGGATTTTGTCAAGGCCAAAAAGTTGCCACTGCCTTTGCGAGTGACACAAAATGGATTGCCGTTTGCCATTCGCAACAATTTGTCTTCCACATTTCTTACCGTGGGTGGTGGAACATCGGTTTCTGTCAGGTAAGAAAGAACCAAAGAAAGAAACTAGTGATCAGGAACAATAGTACTGCATGCTTGCTAAACTCACTCACTCGTTTCCTTTTTCACTTGCAACACAAAACAGAGCCGGGACAACGGCCATGCCAGAAGAAAAACTGGTCGAAAACATTTTGGCAGTCTCCGAAGGGGCAGGCGACAAACTGCCAAGGGCGTGGGCCAATATTCGGACGATTGCTATCAAAACACCCGAAAGTACTTCCTTGCCTCTGTATCATTGCCTTCCTCAGGAACTGCAAGAGATTGCAGAACAGGCAGGAATTGACGAGAAGAAGAAGATGGAAGAAGAGGAGGCCAAGGCGACCAAGGAAAATGTTGCTGACAGTGCTGCCATGAACAGCCCCTTGGTGAAAGCGCTGAAAAAGAGAAAAAAGGAGGGCAGTGCCAAAAAGGAAGCAAAGGAAGAGAAGAAGACCGACGCAGAGAGCAGCGCCAAGAAGGAGAAGGAACGGACCATGAAGGAAAAGGAGGATGCAAGTCCCAAGGCGGAGAAAACAGAAGGTAGCGCCAAAAAGGCAAAGAAAGATGGTAGTGCCAAGAATGGGCAAGAAAAACAGGATGCAAGTCCCAAGGTGGAGAAAACAGAAGGTAGCGCCAAAAAGGCAAAGAAAGATGGTAGTGCAAAGAAGGAAAAGAAAAACGAGGACGTAAGTCCCGAGGTGGAGAAAACACCACAAGGGAGCGCCAAAAAGGATAAGAAAGATGGCAGTGCCAAGAAAGAAAAGAAAAAGGACAGCCCCAAGGGAGGTAGCGCCAAAAAAGAGAAGAAAGATAGCAGTGCCAAGAAGGATAGAAAAAAGAAGAGAAGTCTATCACAGTGAAGAGACATCTATCTGATGACTCGAGTATTGTAAGTGCTGCTGTATTGAGATGCCTATCGTTGTTGCGTTTCATTATGCTGTGGGTTGATTGATTGATTTGAATGATGAGAATCTGCTTTACAAAAATAAACATTCATGCGTGTCATCTGACGGTTGAGTGATCTAAACAAAAAAGCTGCTGAAACCAAATCAATACACCTTTTGACTGAAGCGATGGCATCCTTGTCTTGGACACAATCCCTTACGACGCAAGGCTTGCACTAATATTTGTTTTCCGCTTCTCTTGTGCAGGCTTTTGGGGGTTACAAATCTACTATCTGGCACACCACACCTTTGTGCTAACGTCTTTCGTCGAACAACAGACTGACGCGATGAGGTAAGGAACATAAAAGAGACTAACCACCAAAGACGACGGATGTGGCCGATGATGAAGAATCATCCATATCATAGACCTGTACGGAAACCTTTGCTTTCATCAAAGCCCCGAAAGGGGTGGCGAGGAGCTATACGAGGTACCACGTGTCGAGAAAATGCGATGCACCACCAACTAAGGCCCCACAATCCACAAATTGCCATGGCTGCCAGTTCTCTTTGCAAGATCGCTTCATCTCATACATTTGCTTGCTTATGGTTCGTCTCTTACCAATGCCTACAGGGAGGATTTAGTACAGTAAACAACACCTCATAATGTGTAATTTTAGCTTATGCATTCATTGGTACAGAAATATCCAACCACCAGCTAGTTGCTAGATTCGTATGTCTGCTAGTAATATTCCTCATCGTCATACGGTTGCTCATAGTCTGCGTCTGAGTCCCATTCATCCTCGAAATCTTCTTCTTCTTCTCTCCAATCTTCTTCCCAAGGGTCGTCCGGAAACCCATCGGGAACATCCCATTGCGATTCGTAATCCTTCTCTGCCTGCAGTCGGGCAGCTGCTGCTTTTGCCGCCTCGATGGCCCGTTCACGGGCTTCTCGTAGTGCTTCCAAGGCATCCAAATAACGATCAGACATTTCTCTCAGAGTATCTTCTTGAGTTTCATCACCCTCAATAGCTTCAGTCATCTCTTCCTCCAACACAGGATTCATCCCTACATCGATGGAAAGATCAATTCCAATCTCTTCCTTGGCATGCACCAAGACAGCAGCCAATGCATCTGCCGCACCATGATCCAGGAAACATCTACGAAGTCCCAACGAATACTTCAAACCAGTAGATTTTTGGTCTCCCTGTATATTGTCGTCGTCATCTAGAATGGCGTTTGCCAAGGCTTTGATGCCACACCGAGCCTTTTCTGGGTCGATATCTCCACCCGTAGAATCGTCACTCATGCCACTTCTTTCTTCTTCCTCGTCGTCGCTCTCACCACTGTTCCCACCACCACCGAGCTCGACTCCAAATTCCTGTAGTCCGGTCTTCAGCCCTCGTTTGAACATTGACACGTATGCCGCAGTTGTCGCTGTGGCCTTGCTCTTGATAGCGCTGGCAGAATACTTTTTGCCCTTTTTCATCTTGCCCCGCAAGACACCCAAGGGATTCCCACTCAAGTCAATTTCAACATGGGTAGAAGATGCTGGCATGGCTCTTTGAGATCGCTTCAGCATTGCCTTTCCAAATGCCGCTGCTCCATCGGCTAGGATTTGACAGCTTCTCAATCGGATACTCTTAGTAATTACTCCCTTTTCGACAGCTTCTGCCAATACGATTGCTGACTTGTCCTTGATACCAGCATTGCCACTCAAATCGAGGGTTTCCACCATGGCACTGCCGCCTAACAGTGCATGTGCAATCGCAGCGGCGCCCACGTCGGTTAGTTTATTGTGGCTCAAATCCAACTGCCGGATGCACATGCCATGACAGCTCTCCAATGCCAAGGCAATGGCTTCGGCACCGGCATCTCCAATCTCACACGCCGACAGGTCCAATGTATCCAGCAAGAGTCTCTCCTCTTTGGATGACGTGACTACTGTTCGAATGGCTGCAGCAATGGCGGCTGCACCCGAATCTCCCAAATCAGGGTTTCCACACAAATGTAGTGATAGTGGTTTTGCTGCTACTGTTGTTGACTGCTGGCCGTTTTCTGTGGTAAACCTGTTGATGATACCCTGTGATCCATAGTAGGATGGAGCAATGTCAAGAACATCGAGCAAAGAAAATCAGAACAGACACCAACACATCATCTCGACTGATCTTCATACTGTAGTCAAGGGACGTACCTTTCCTATTGCCCGACAAGCCCCCGGGCTGAGTCCACATCGCTCAAAGCATAGATTCTGCGGACAGACTTCAGGAGTCTGAAGCAACTTTTGTAGCGACTTGAGAAAGGTCTTCCAACCGGGTGCATCCAGCTGCAGTCGGTTCCATCCAACGTCCAGTGTATGGACATTCCAAGGTCTTGACGGAATGCTCTCAGCATAATTGGTGGGTGTAGTTGTAGAGTTTTTCTGTCCATCGTCTTCTACAGTAGTGTTGTTGCTTTGACTGATGCTGTCATCAGTACTGTTGGTGTTTGCATCTGTTTCATTGCTCTCTAATAATGTCTGATTGTTGTTGGTCGCACTTGCCAGCAACATCTGAAAGATACCTTCCACCGCCCTGGGTGTGAGCCGATTTCCTCGTGAGACAAACTTGATTCCCACAGGTTCTTTCCTAGAAGCAGTTGTTTCTTTTGGCAGCAATGCCTTTACAATTGCCTGGAAATCCTTCTCATCACCCAAGAGAGAACATGAAACATCCACGTCAAAGGTATCTTGTCTCTCACAAACACGAATTGCCTCTTCCAGCTGGGATGCTTCCAGATAGTGCTTGTACGAAAGATCCAAGGTCCTGGAAGATGCTTTACTGCTGCCTTGAGCCAATGGAGGGAATGCAGCAAGCACGAGAAACCATGACAACTGGGAAATCGTGGAAAACAGGAACGGGGATCTCATCCTCTGGGCAACTTCTGGGGGCCTTTCCAAAGTTTCTTGGAAGACTGGAGACTAAAAAGCAGGTCCTGGTGTTGGTGTCTCTCTAGCTCGAACACTGGTATCCGGGGTAGTGTTGGCTGCTTTTGGGATGAAGCAATCATTCCCTTGGACGATGGCAAGGGGTGGGTGCGGGATGAAGCCAAGACACGTGGAAGGTGCATTAAGATTGGGGAGATGGGGAGTTGAGACCCTGTTTTCTTGGGACTAAACTTTGACATAAGGACACATTCCAAGAGCTTCCTAAGATTAGGCATTAATTGAAGGTCACAGAGTAGGCTTAAACCCAATAATAGATACCTAATTAAATACATTTGAGAATTACCCGAAAAGAACAAGCAAGCAAGTCGCAAATCAAGGGGAAGCTTCGGTGCCCTCCACCCTCGGCTCCCTACTAGTCTAGCTAGAGGCCTTGCCTCACAGCAAAACAACAATTGTTGCTCATTGAGAAGCTGCCACCATGGAAGAGGAGGTTGACACCAGCACCGCTACCCAAACCCACGGCTACGAGTGTTCACGGCTAGAGGATGAAGATGTTGCTGCCCTTGTTCAAGATGCGGATTCCCTCCAGCAATGTGATGACAAAAAGAAAGCTACTCCGCAGTGTACATGTAAAGAAAAAGCAACAGTTGCACCGAAGGGTTCGACGGGGGTAAACCACATTGCAAGTCCAAAAATCGAGAATGATGACAGAGCCAGCAGCCCCAGAGACTCCGAGAAGAGTCCTGCCAGATACAATGTCCTTGATGTTGCTCTGAGTACTGGTACTGTTGATGTGGCATCTGGTACCGGGGAAGATGCCAGCAACAGCCATGGAAACTCCATGAAGACTCCTGCTCTTCCCAACGCTATCCATCCCGGAAGCGTTGACGATGACGATGACAGAGACCTGAATACTAAGATTGGACCGGGAACTATGTTGCTTCAGCAGAGATTTCAGAATGATATCATGCCACTGCCAGGGGACATTACGCCATCAGTGCTCCCTGGAGCTCACCCTGTGGGTCCTATTGGATCTGCTAGAATTCCCCACACAAGGGGAGTGATTGTTGCAAATGGTACAGCCACGACAGGACCTCGAAATGGAGATGCCGGTTTGATGATTGCCCATCGAGTAATTGATCAAGACCTATTACAAGTGGCTGAAGAAATGGACAGAGAAATTCAACAACAATCAACAAGCAAAAGATCTCCTTTTTTACTGGCCATGGGAGGAATACTTTTACTTGTGACAGTGGTGCTTTTGCTGGTGTTTCTACTGGCCGAGGGCCCCTATGAAGAGACAAAAATTGTATCTTCTACACCGCCAACCCAGGCTCCAAGCTTTGATCCGCAACAACACATGTTTGATGCGCTTCCCAACGGCACAGTGGATGCCATTGACGACCCACTCTCTCCCCAGTCCCTAGCATTTCAGTGGCTCTCCAATGATCCAAAATACCTCAACTACACAACAGACAGGCTTGTTCAACGCTTTGCCCTCGCTACTCTCTACTACGCTACCAATGGGAATGAATGGCGGAACAACACCCGATGGCTCTCCTATGAGCACCATGAATGTCAATGGTTTGCAATGGACTTGCTCAATGCTTTTCGCATTGGATTCTTCAGTAGCCGTTATATTATTGAGAACAATCCTATGTTTCAGAAATTGCCAACCGAACCATTTCCCTGTGGCCCAGCACTCTCAGACCGCCATGACCAGCCCTACAAGCATCTCTGGCTTTTCAACAATGGCCTCAAAGGCAAACTTCCTGATGAAATCTACCTTCTGACCTCATTGAAGAGTGTTGTTCTTTTTGTCAACAATCTTGCGGGTTCCACCCTTCCCACATATATTGGCAAACTGACATCACTGGAATTGCTTGCGTTTGTGCGGACTGACTTGGGCGGCTCCATTCTTTCTGAGATTGCTATGCTTACGAAGCTTCATTCAATTTATGGAGGCCTCAATAGACTGACTGGCCCATTGCCATCCGAATTGGGGCTGTTGGCCAGGGGCTTTTCATTTGGCCTGGTGAGACATTGTGCTGCTTACATGGCTACAGTGTTACAAGCTTCACCCACCACTTCTTACTTTGCATTCCTTGCTGTCCAGGTTCTCGCAAAGAACGCGTTGAGTGGGACAATCCCAAGTGAGTTGGCATTGCTGACTGACATGGATACGTAAGATTGCTTTTTGTGTGTGATGAACTGCAATGTTGACATTTGAACTCAGTCTTGCTTCCTCCTCATAGCTTTAACATGAACAGAAATAGTTTGACAGGGACTGTCCCTAGCGAGCTGGGGAACATGGTCAAGTTGAACTGGTGAGTCTGTGCACTACAACAACCGTGACTTCCTTGTTGCAGCTTTAACAAGTTCTTAACTTTTTAGTTGTTGCTGTCCAGGTTTGAACTTTGGGGAAATCAGCTCACTGGTCAACTTCCCTCAGAGCTGGCCATGTTGAAGGAGGCAAGGTCGTTGATGCTCCACCATAACCTTTTGACTGGAAATGTACCAAGTGAATATGGCCAAATGCACTCCTCCTTGACAGGACTGTTTTTGATGGACAACCAACTCAGTGGCTCGGTCCCTTCAGAACTGGGACTGCTTACTTACATGGAAACTTGCTGGCTGAACGACAATCTCATGGGTGGGACCATTCCCCTGGAATTGCAATCATTGGGTGATATTGGTGCATTAAAGTCCCTGAATCTCACTGGCAATGGATTTTCAGGGAGTATCTCAGGCGAATTGTGCAACATAGGAGTCAACGTGTCTTGTCCTGCCTTCGGGGATGGTCGTATATTTGAATGTTCACTACAGTTTGACTGCTCTGCCAAGCTCTGTGGATGTGATTGCCCTTGCTTCTAGACAGCCTAGGTCCGGTAAAAGACATGGTGTGTCTGGCGTGGAAAATGAGAATCAAGCGCCCACAACAAAACCAAGGGGGGAGCAAAAGGGTCCCACATCAAAAGGATAAGCTCCAACCCAGGTTCCAGGGTCGGAAATGATGCTAGCTAGCTATACTTAGCCGCCTCTAAATGAGTCCTCACATGGGAAGGAATCAAGTTGGACCACATGCAGCATTCAGCATGCGATCTGCATCTGATGAGCATCAAAGACGGGCGATGACAATAAACACTGGAAAAGTATTCAACGACGAAAACCGCAACCAGTGGACAGAGTTGCAGCTGGACAACACGGTATTAATAGCACTGCCAGGCAGAATCACATCAAAACAAAAAGTGTATTACTGGCATCTTCGGGTGAGACAAGCAGCGCAGACTGCGTATTGAGCGTGCTAGCAAGTCTTCCTTTGCCAAGCCATATCATACCAGGTTAATTCTGGTTCCGCGATTATTGTTGCTTTTTTGAACTGCTTGAACTGCAAATCTTTGTCATCTTCTTTCTTCTTCCACCAACTGGTTGAAACGGAAAAGTCATTTGCTTGCCAAGAAGCACACCACGTTCCAGATCATCTAGCTAGCTAGAACCGAGAAGTATCTCTGTCCACACAATCACAAAAGGAGCACAAAATGTAAGCGAATCTCATTATTGCATGCATCCATCAAATCATAGATTCCGCCTACGTACCGTCCAAAAATGAAGGATTTGAACCAATGCATGGGGATGAGAATTTTGTTGACCATGCTGGTTTGTCGTCCCCAGTATGCAAAGCGCCACAGCAGTAACGCCAGCAGACCGCGCAGTTTGGGATTTCCCTTCATTTCTTTCCCGGGTTCACCCGCCGAAGATCCATCGTAGATTCCCTTGAGGTCTCCCATGTATGCCATGCTACCGAGAGAAAAGAATTTGAATTCCTTTTCGGTTTCCTGTTGCGTTCCATTGAATACTTTGGCGAGATAAATGCCCTGTTGCCGTGCCACTTGCGCTAATTGCGGAATGACGGTGTCTCCAGTGTCATTGACGGCCGAGTCGCCAATCGCCCAAATGGACCCTTCGTATCCCTTGACGCGAAGATAGTCATCGACGAGGATGCGTTTGCTGCGTGGGTGTAATGGCAATGTATCGGTCATTGTGGTGGTAAAGGTCCGCGGTGCCAATCCCGCCGACCATACCATGGTCCCAAACTCAATGGCAGTTCCATCGGAGAGCATGGCTTGTCGCGAGGGGAAATGATAATCGGGCAATTCGACATCTTCCACAGAAGTGACGGCAGTTCCCAATCGTACATCGATATCTCGTTTTTTGAAGAGTCCGTGTGCATATTCCTGCAATGCCTTGTCAAAGGGTCCCAAAAGGGCCGGGCCGGCTTCTACCAAGGTAACATTGACGAGTGGTAAGAGATCGGGGTATAATCGGGAAATATCGTGCTTGACAAAGTCTGTCGCAAAGATAAGAAACCAGACAGAAAAAGGGCTTGGTTTAGACAGACACGTGGATTGGATCGTTTGGTTCCCTGTACAGTTCATGACAATGAATTGTACTCACCGTGCAACTCGGATGTGAATTCACAACTGGTGGGTCCTCCTCCCACCACGACAAAGGAAAGCAATCGTTTCCGTTCAGCAGGAGTAACGGTAGGTACGGCGGCCTTTTCGAATACGTCAATAATGTTATTTCGGATCATCCGTGCATGCTTGAGTGTCTTGAGAAAGAAGATTCCATTTCCTTCCTGGATGGATGGAATGCCAAAGGTATTGGTCTTGACACCCACGGCAATGACTAATTTGTCATATGTTATTTCAAAGGTATCATCGTGGACCGATTGCACCGTAATGGTTTTGTTTTCCGGATCGAGCGTCCGTGCCTTGCCATGGAGAAACTGTCCCTTGGGGCCGAGCACCGTCCGAACGGGTTCTTGGACGCATCGGAATTCCAAGGTTCCCACGGCCGTACTGGGCAACAATGGCGTAAAGAGGAAATGATTGTTGGGGGATACCACGGTCAAATCCAAGTTCTTGTTCACGTTCAGGGCCACCTGGAATCCACCCCATCCACTGCCCAAGACCACAATCTTTTCGCCTTGGGCAGCCGCAGCCGCTCGATACAGAGCTCTCGTTCTCATCATGATTGGATATACTTGTATTGGAGGTGTTGTGTTGCTTGTTTGCTTTTGTTCTTGTGTTATTATGGTCACCGCTTGTGGTACCGGTAGCTCTTCTTTCTTCTTTGCCACCGATTGGTTGTAAGAATGGAAAAATCGTATCTTTTGGATCCAGGAGCTTCTTTTGGAAGCGCCTTGGAAGATACAATCGTGATGACGTCATTCCATTGACTCCCGCCACCACGGCAACCATCCACACCCCAACCTCACGACAACAAGCAGCCACACAGCAACACCACTCCATCCCATCCCTTGTTTGCTGGAACCTTTTCAATCCAGTACTATCCCAGTACCAATAGTAGACCATGTCAAGTGCACAACCATCCCAATCCATCCGGAGTGCCTATCGAACACTGGCTCGATTGATTCAACAACAACCCAACCGCCAGGCACAACAACAATCCGAATTGCGACAAGCCTTTCGTCGGCCTCTAAGCGAACGCGAAACCGTCACGGACCGCTTGCAAAAAGCGCACGACCGCATTTCGTTTTTGCGCATTACCACACCCAAGAGTGTTCGTCGTCGTCAAGGAGAAGACGCCGGTGTTTTTGTCGTCAAGGATGGAAAGTTGGTGTCCGCCACAACAAGCGATGCCAATGGTGCTGGAAGAGTCGTGTCCAATTGGGATGGCAAAAATCTAGATCCCTGCATGGTCAAGAGACACAATGTCGGACTACGAAGAGCCGGATTTGTCAACAATCAGCATGCCAAAGGAATATTTTGATCACGATATTACAATATACCATACTACAACACTTGGAGGAATTAAATCAAAAAAGAGTTTGGAAGAATGAAACGAAATGGAATGATCAAACGTTGACTTGGTGTGGGTGGAAGGCATAACCATTCGCCCTGATTCTGACAGCATCGATTCAATTCACCGGATTTGGCGTTGCTTGAAGATTTGGGATACACAGTACCGGTACAAGCTAAATTTGAGTGAATAACTGACCGACTTGGCTAGGACATGATGTCTCAAAGACCACACGGGCAACCTACTCCGTACGATAAAGGGGAGAGGAAGCTGCCCTTTTACGAGAGCGAAAGTGGCTAGTTATTTGGAGAGTCCAAAAGTTTGCTCTAGCTAGGTAGGGGAAAGAGATGGATCAGTGCTATTTCATAAGGTTTCTCGGACATCGCTCTGACTTCATCGCAGGTTTCACATGACGGAATAAAAGCATTCCAAGGGGTCGTTCAAAAACAATGCCCAATCAACCCAAACGTTCTACCCTGGATTGGGTTTCTGTAACCATATCAGCAGTCGTAGCGTCCGTCACAATTGGTTCTTCGGTGCGTTTGTCGACGGGGAAGTCGTGCATGTAGTCAAAGCAGCCTCCTCGATCCTCTACTGCGGTCATGCCCCCCCATCTCTGTACTACTCTGGAATGGCTTCATTGGAAAGCTACGGTACTGTTCTCCGTCAAAAACCAATGCAGGTCTACAATCGGCAATGGGGGGATCGACAGTCCCTCTGCTGCGTCGTGCAAGCACAAACATTGTGAGAGATGTGTATGAATCCTCGTCTAATGGACAATTCTTGGTGGCACCAGCGACGATATTGTGGACTTCCGATCGAGTTGCCAGTCTCTGCTCGACTCGTGGAAGGAGGTTGACCCGTCATGCATGGCATCACTATTCAACTGCCAAAAACGAGCCCGATGGAAAAAGGCTTCAAACAAACAAACAAACAAACAAACAAACAAACAAAATTGCCTCTATCTGCTCGTTTCGTAACCAATCTTGACTGCACGGGTAAAATGAACACCGAACAATCAAAGGGGCGTCCACGGACTATTGGTGTGAAACAACTCCTTCTTCAGGGCACTACTGTCAGCCAAGGGTACCGGGGTAGTCTCGATGGCCCCACGATTTGGCTTTCGCCCGGTGCATCGTCACGCGGTGCAAAAGGAGAGGACGAAGGGAAAATGGAAGGGCTTCGCGAGCTTGTCGCGAAAGGCAACGAAGATGGCCCTGGTCTACCGGCCTGCTCATACAAAGCTTCCGATTATGGCACATGATGCACAGCAACGCCCGCTGTCTAGAAAGCTGGGCAGTACATATACAGTGTATTGACCAAGCTTTTTCCATACTGTTAGCTGTAGCTGTTGCTGTCAAGCCTGGGAAGGAACGATCCCTGCTTCGGCAAAGGGATAAGCCAACGAAGCTCTATCCAAAGAGGGAAACCACAGCCAACTACACAACAAGAAAGATCAGTTTTACATGGTGTAATTTATTCAAGTTAATGCAGGTTGAAGTACATTGCTGTGGGACCTGTGCAGTGGATTGGGAGGGAAAGTGACATTCAAGAGGAAATGCAGCAAGCTGATGCACCTTCTAGAGAACATCAAGCCCCAACAATTCCATTTGCACAGCATCATTAAGGAAAGCAGGCTCGTAGATTGAACAGCAAAATCGGGAAGCGCAAAATCGGGAAGCGCAAAATCCGGAAGATGGTTGAGTGCATGCCTTCAAATGCAGTGATGACAATCCACTTTTTCTGAGACAGATCTGGAAGAAGTTCCTATCAGGATGTCTCAAAGCATTGGAAATGAGTTCCAATGCAAAGATTGGTCGGCTGGAGCTGATTCCAGGGCTGTTTTCAGCAGAAGGCTTGCAAGTAGCTTGGCAGGGCCCGAGCTCAGGATGGCTCAAACAGAGACGAGTCATCTCCGGCATGTCCACAATTTGAACAGGCTGGCTGGATGAAGCGCAAGTACTGATGGCTCAAAGCATTGAATGGAGTTCCAATGCAGAGAACAATCACACTTGTTGCTCCAATCCAGCAAGCCAATTCTCATGATTGTGCCCCACTCCACCTAATCCAAACACAAAGCATGAAGATCTCCGCGAACAGGACGTCTCAAAGCATTGGAAATGAGTTCCACTACAAAGAATGGTCAGTTGCAGTTGATTCCAGGGCGGTTGTCAGGAGAAAGCTTGCAAGTAGCTTGACAGAGCCAGAGCTCCAGAGCTCAGGATGGCCCAAAGTGTTGGCAATGGAGTTCCAATGCAGACCAGTCATCTCCGGCGGCGGCATATAAAGGAGCTGCCTTGCTGGATGGAGTCACCAATGGTAGGATGGCTCAAAACATTGAATGGGCTTCCAATGCAGAGAACAATCACACCGGTAGCTTCAATCCAGCAAGTCAAGTTTTCTTGTTCTCATGGTCGTGCCATACAGAAACAAATAGAGATGGGGCCCATCAATGGATCAGTAGGCACAATGATCAAAAGACGGACACCTTCCAAGCTGTCCTGCATGGCAGAAGCATGACAAGGAGCTGGGAGATACTCAGCTGCCATTGATTCCAGGTCTGGTGTCAGGGCTCCAATCCAGCAAGCCAGGCTTTCTCGCTCTCATGGTCATGCCATGCAAGATTGCAGAAAGTGGGGCCCATCAAGAGATCAGTAGGCACAATGATCAAAAGACAGACACCTTCCCCGTCATCTTGCATGGCAGAAGCATGGAGTGTGAGCATGACAATAAACTTCTTCATAGACAAATCTGGCATCAACGGTTCGCTGACATCTCAAAGCATTGGAAATGAGTTCCAATACAAAGAATGGTCGGCTGCAGTTGATTCCAGGGCTGTTGTCAGGAGAAGGCTTGCAAGCAGCTTGATGGACAGAGCGTGATGGCTCAAAGTGTCGGCAATGGAGTTCCAATGCCGACCAGTCATCTCGGACGGAGCTGCCTCGCTGGATGGAGTTGCCAAGAAGATGATGGCTCAAAACATTGAATGAGTACCAATGCAGGGAACAATCACTCATTTAGCTTCAATCCAGCAAGTCAAGTTTTCATGTTCTCGTTATCCTGCCACGCGGACGAAACGAGGAAGGGCCCATAAGGGCCCATCAAGAGATCAGTATGCACAAGATCAAAAGACAGATACCTTGCCCTCTTTGGCAGAAGCATGAATCAAGGGGCTCAAGTTTTCTTGTTCTCATGGTCATGCCACGGACAATGCCGGGAACAGGGGCCCATCAAGAGATCAGAAAGCACAGATGATCAAAAGACAGACACCTTCCCGTCATCAAGCATGGCAACAGCAGAAAAGGGAGCAACTCTTGACAAAAGCCACAAGATCTGTCAACCATTGCGAACCCTTTGCTTCGTCGTCATTTGATCCATATGTATCATGATCAAATGAGAGAGGCCAAAGGATGCTCATGGTTGACGGCTTTCCAGTTTGGAGCAGGAGGATAATGAAGGATGGGCATGGTCGTGGGCTGGCTGTAAGAAGATGAACATGGCACTGGCCAGGAAGGCCCGGTCATACGACTGAAAATCGCCAAAATCGGCATAAAGTCGCACAGGAGCACCAAAGTCGCATTAAAAGTCGTTCATAATGTCGCATGCGAGTCGCACCAAAGTCGCGTGCGACTTTCTCACATGACTTTGAAAGTCGCGCAAGATAACTGTAAGTATGGCGATAAAGTCGCGTCGGATCGCTGAAAGTCGTTCGGAAAGTCGTACCAAAGTCGCATGCGACTCGCACGCGACTTTGTGAACGACTTTCAGCAATCCGACGCGACTTTGACCATAGCAAGAAGAATCCGGGACTAACAGTGGCACGACGAGGCCTTCCAGGACAAGAATCATTTGGGGCACACTCAACAAAGCCATGAATCAGATCCCCAACAGCTCCATGTAGGTTCCGTGTCGGCACGGCGTAACAATCCAACGACAGATACCTTGCAATCTTTGGACACGGCCAAAGCATGAGTGCGGTACCATAGACCAACAGACCATGAGGCGATGGCGATGGAGCAGTACAAGCAGAAGACGGTGAAATCGAAACCCTGTCCGCCGTTGTGAGGTGGACGAGAGGTGGATGAAATCGACCCTACTCGACGCTCGACTCGACGCACGAGCGATTAATGTGCCATGGTGACATCACTCAAAGCTTCCAAGCTGTGAGCGACCGACAGCAAGGAAGCCCTTCTTGTTGTCACCAAGACGGATGGTTGTTGTTGTTAGTCCATCATCGAGCAGTGCCCTGATGGGCAACGCCGCAGGCCAGTGCAATGGAGTCTCCAAGATTACAGTTGCCCATTCTGTGAGCGACCGAACCGAAGATGCCATTGCTGTGACTGCGGCGAAGGATGCATCGCCATGATGACGACATCCAAGAACATCCAAGACTGCAGTTGCTCTTAGCGAGAGTGACTGTATCCAAGATGCCGTTTTGTCGTCACCAAGACGCTCTTATTGTGGCCACCACGATTGCCGAAGGCGATTGCAAACCTCAACCGGAACAAGTCAAGATGGCGCCGCCGTGGTTGACACAACATTCGGCGTCCAAGTGTAGGACCGCTCTTAGAAAGAGAGTGGTCTTACCAAAGACGCTGTTGTTGTGGCCACCACGATTGATTGCTAAAGGCAATTGCCACGACGAATCGGACGCGGAATCGTTCGAGTGATCCCAGAACAAGCAGCGATCACACGAGAGACTCCACTCGGTATCGTCGTGACATAAAGCCCCGCTAGTAGCATGCGACAGCGGCAACAAGACAAGGGATCCAAGCAGTAGAGCCACTCTCTTTAGTAGTGGAGAGTGGCCGAACCCAAGACCCGCTGTTGTTGCCACCGTCGAAAATGGTGCCGCGACTCATCTTGGACATTGTCGTTATTTCAGCGACCGACGGCGGATGCTCATGGTCGGAGCGGTGTTTGGCCGAGCTGACGAAGCGATCGAGGGTCCATCGAGTGTCCTTTTCGGACACTCGAGAGAGCCTTTCGGTTCTTCCGCTCGGCCAATTTATGAGAAGAAACTGAGCTGATTGTTTTGTTTTGGAGAGGGTCGAGCCGAACCTTTTGCTTGCTTGGATCTTTGCCTACGGTACTCCGTACGTTGCACGCTACAGCGTACCGTACTGGGCCATCCTGGCTACGGCCGGAAGATACAGGTGTGTCCTTCCCAAGCAGTTTCGAAACACAGGCTTCTCGCCTTCTCGCACGACCTTCGTGATCTCCTGGTGCGCACGTTCTGCGCATCTCATCTGCCTCATCAGACTTCGTTCTTCGAAACTGCTGAATGAATCCGCGTGGGTCCTGCAAAAATAGCAAGGTTTAGGTTCGCCTCTAGCTAGCCAGAAGCAGTTACTACGGTACGTTTAGCTAGTATCACTGCGACAAACGTTTGGAGATCTCTAGCTACGGGTAGGGACGAGTAATACAGTTTCTGTATGATGATGATCCTCATTCTCTGCTTTCGTGCGGGTTCCATACCGGTGCACTTTCTTTCGTTGCTTCGTCCGTCGCTCCATCGATCTTCGGTACGAATGGTTGTACTGGCCCCCGTTCGGCCCTCTTTGGTGAAGCTAAAATGTTGAATTTCATCACGTTGCTTGCAGCGATAGACCTCCAGTCGCATACGGGAAACCAAGGCGAGGCATGGTCAATGGGAATGGGTCGAGCGAGATCATGGATTTGTGGTTTGCAAGGCTGCTGAATCGAACAGGCAGTTTGGCAAATTTTGTGAGGATTCATCGTTGAGGCCTCCGTCTTTTGGACGACGTCGTGAAAGCCACAATCCGGATTCCGAGATGCCGTAACGCTGCAAGCGGCAGACTAGTAGAGCTGACTCGATTCGATTCGTATCAAGTTTGCTGAAACAGACAAGGTTTGCTGGGAGGGCTCTTTTGAGAATTGAACTTAATCTTGTGGTAGATAGCTAGATACCCTTCTCCGTCCTCATTTGTTCCTTGCGCTTGAAGCTCACAAAGAATGCTTGCTCGAGTCGATGCAATAAGGCGGACGCCAGACACGATGCCGGTATGAACGGTACAAGTATCTTCAGGGCATGCTTCGCCATGCTCAACATCTTTGGACTCAACGCTGAACCAGTGCTACTAGAACCTACCAAGGGAGCCGTACCACAGGAAAGAGTGACGGAGAGAACTGCCAGCCCCAACATGATTCGCTTGAGTTTTTGAACCCTAGCCAGAGCATTGCGGGTCGCAGGACAGTGCACCACATGCCGATGATAACGTGTCTCCATGTGATTCCCAGCTCGATGAAACATGGGGTCCAATGCTGGCGGGCCGACAAAGCCAGTCAAATGATCATCGACATTGACCGACCTTTTAGCTAATCCTTGAAACCAGGGCATGCCATGACCTACCTGATCCATCCACTGTCTATACGCTTTGACAAAAGCATCAGACGAGTCTAGCATGAGGAAATCGTCTTTGATCTGATGATTGGGTTGTCGTTTAAAGTGGTCTTCTTGCGTGGTGATGAGTCCTGCATCCTGTTCCAGTACTTTGCACGAATTCAAATGGCGCAGAAAGGCAGGCTTCGAGCTGAGTATGAACATCAAGAGCTTTGGTAATCCTCCAAAGTAGGCTCGAAACAGCAGCCTCGATCTACCCAAAGCCAGCGGCATGCAATGCAAGGCGACACCAAAATAAACAGTACTATTTGCTCCCAATGGAAACCCTCGTTGCCTGACAATACCAGGTGCTTGGTATTGTACTTCAATGTAGGGTCCATCTTTCTTGGCTTGTGATTCCACTCGGTACCGTCCGGTAAATCCATCGGGTGAAACCGATTCCTTGTCCACAATCATATCATAGGCTTCAGCTCGTTCCCGCCGGCCACCACCTGGTGTTCTGTCATGGCTGATATCAATGTGGGCAGGATCGATCAAATTCTCCACAAGATAGCTGTGATCGTAGGGCAAGTCTATTTGGAAGTCGTTGACCAAAAAGCCATTTCGTTGACCAGTAAGTTGATCCAATTCGTCATTTTGGGCTGGAACCTCCTTGGTGGGTTCTGAGCTGCCATCTCCCATCCAGACCCAGACAATGCCTTCTACAACCCGACATTCGCGCATTTTCAGACAGGCAGCTTTGGGAATCTGAGCACCAGTCGACAGTTGTGGAATGAACGAGCAAGCCCCTTTCTCCTTGCCATCAAATTGCCAGCCATGGTAATAGCACTCGAGCTTTCCGTCTCGTGTCCTTCCTTCTGATAAAGCAGCAGCCCGATGAGGACAGACATCGTCCGCACAGTGAATGTGGCCGCCATCTTCCGAGCGCCACAGCACCAGAGGCTGGCCAAAGACTGCCGCAGGGACCACCTCGGCCGTTTCAGAAGGATTCAGCACGTGGGAAGCAAAAGTCAGCGCATACCACTGGTCTTTCCAATTGTATGGCAGCGTCTCGATCTCTTCTTTTGGTTGTGGCGACAAGGTAGAGAGGAGAATTGGTCTGCTGCCATACTGGACCCCGCCAAGGATCCGTTGGATGCGATTGCCAACGATATCCTTGTCTCTTCGCAGATTGTTGACTGCCGTGTTGGCTGGATGTACAAACCCATTTACAAACGTATCTGAGAGAGACGCCAGCAGTAGTGGAGCCACAAAAAGGAAATGGAGAAGGCAGTAACGCAACAACAACTTCATCGCTGTCATTAGTCTCTGCATGTCGGATTCTATGATAGGTGTGATGGTTCGATGGTCTGAAGTGCGGTGTTGGGTGTTGATGGCTGGATCCTGGAATGATGAATGATGAATCGAATCGATCTCCACCAAAAAAGCTTCAGCTTCACAGACTGAAAAGAAGTCATCATTTCCTTGCAGAACATGAAAAGAATGATCGAGCAGGGCGTCAAACTGCGCCAACAAAACAATTGCCACCAAGTCGCGCGATCGCCCCAAAACTCTGCATCCAACGATCAGCAGCAAGCCCGAAGCAAGAAATAGGACTAGCTAGCTAGGTAGCGACTGTCAATCGACTCAAGGAGTAGTACCTGCTAGCGTCTGTCACTCAACTCCGCGAGACTTCGCCTATCCGGTTTGAGGATACCTCTATTCCCTCCAGTATCATTCAGCCAGAGGCAGCGCCATGCATCCACCATTATGGCGACGAAAAAAATGTATCATGGCAGGCTTTAATAAAATTTTACTTTACTACATGCATTATTACTTGTGATTTACAACGAACAACCCCCTGGTTGTCCATGCTTCCTAGCTCCTCATTAGGTACTGACTATTCGACTCTTTTGGCCTCGCTCGTTTCGCACCTCGCTCCGGAGACAATTCATGAACGCAAGCTTTCATGTTTCGTTGCATTTTAAAAAGGCGGCGACCGTGCAAAAGTAACGCCTACAGAAAAAGGTATCCTCTCTCGTCGCTCCCTGACGCATTTGATGGGCGCTAGTACAGTAGTCCCATCACCAAAGCAAATGACGCGAGACCAACAATGATTGTGTTTGACGATGCACTCGACTCCGAATTTTCTGACTCGGCCGCGGCAGCAGCTGCTGTTTGTTTCTCCTGATCCCCCTCAGCGGGCTTGACGTTGACAGAAACCACTTCTGCTCCATTGTTGGCTGAGTTGCGCTCCCGTTCCGTATCTTGTATGCAGTAGCTTGCTGTGGTTCCATCGCTTTCACCTCCTGCGCATCCTGGAACCGCCTCATAGGCTTTTCTGTACATCATGCACACAAGTCCTGTGTCACACTGCAGAGCCCAGGATTACAGAAACAGAAAGAGTTAGTTCTTGGAGAAATATCATGTTACACAGCATGGATCGATCGATGTCTCACGTGTTCATTCTTATCGCAATCTCCTTGACACATTTTCAGAGGATACACTCCAAACAAAGGTTCTGGATTCTCGCCTAGAAATTCAACCGGAGGTTGCAACTTGCGAATTGACTGAGACTCGGCGTTGGTGAAGCTCAGAAGGCACACCAGCAGCACAAAAAACGGAACGGTCTTCATTGTCATCATCGTGATCTTGAAACTGTTATGATCTTCAAACTAACGTTTATCAGGAAGGAGGACACAGGCCGTCACCTTGTATTGTTTTCTCGACAAATATGTGTTGGTCCGTTGTTGGGACAATATATGCTTGATCGTACAAAAGTGTACCGGTACCTTCTTTGGATTTCTGACAGCTCAGGTCAAGCTCTCACCAAAATTTTGTTGAGCCACGGGTTAGATTTATCTGGCTTCTAATAGCAAAACCCGCACCTCGACAAATTTCCAAGTCCCAACGCCCATGAAATGCAATACTAAAGCTCATAATGGTGACAGGACGGCGCACCTAAACGTTACAGCAACTGTCGAGTGAGTGCTTTCTTAGCCGGTAGCCAGAGGATATTCAGCACAAATTGTGGAGCCGAGGTCCCACGATCATGTCGTGGTTGATTCCCACGGGTCAAGCATGCAATAGGATGGAAAAACGATGAATCGACGTTCGACTGACTGGGTTTCTGAAGCTGTTCATAGCCCAAGACAAGTCGGAGACTTGCTCTTTGCTCTACAACGCGCAACGCTACAACTCTAGTAGCCTAGCCAGTAGCACAAATAAATCTAGTTATCAACAGCCTTCTCGACATGCATGTGGTTGTTCCCCTTGTATGTTGCTCCTTAGAGCTTAGTAACCTTCCAACAGGTAGCCGAGGATAACGGGAACGAGTGCGATGGTGAAACCAAAGAGGCCTGCCAAAGATAATCTCGAGGAGCCTGATTCTTGCACAACAGAGTCTTCGTTCGAATTCGACATCGAATCACCGTTTGTCCCAACCACCAGGGTAACATCATTTTGAGTAGCAGCCCCAGCGACATTATTCGTTGTCCCCGCGTCGTTGCCAACAATGAAAGTATACGTTTTAGCATCAGATAAAGTGTGAGTTGTCGTTTGTTCATTTGTTGCACTCAAGGCCGAGACGTCTTTCTCACCGGCATGCGATGCGTCACCGTGGGGTGACGCGCCACTGTTTGTCCCTTCATGAGATTGGGAGCCACTGGCCCCACCATAGAGTGATGATTCGCCTCCGCTGGCGGCATTGGTCTCAAACGAGATTGTCGCGCTGCTCGAGCTCCCTTGACTGTTCCGTACCGCGGCAGCGAGGCCCTTCTTGACGCAAAAATCGCTCTTGCTCAAGTTGTCTTGACCCCCATTGCATCCAGGAACAAAATTTCCCGGCCCACGTTGAAAGCAAACAAGGCCGTCGTCGCACTGGACAGGAGATCAAAAAGAACGAACAAAAAGTGTGAGTGGTGTGTACTTCTTGTCTGATGGGGCTGCAACCGGCAACTGCGTACGTCTTGATCATTGTCGCAGTCCCCCTCGCACTCTGCGAGAACTTTTCCGTTTGGCGGTGTCGCCCCGAATCCAACAAGGTCGTTTTGCGCCTGTGATTGAGTCGAAGATTGTTGTTGTACGTTTTGCCCCAGCGACTCGGACTGCTCCGAAGCTGGTTTTATGTTGATTTCGTACTGAGCAGAAGACGAGTAACGTTGGCTGGCACCATCCGAACCACCAGAGCCAGTATTGGCAGAAGGACTGACGCAATAATCTGTTCTGCTCATGGCTTCTTCCCCGCCTTCGCAACCCGGCACTGGATCGCCCGGACCACGTTCGAAACACTTCAAGTTACCTAACACATATCGGAACGTTAGAAAGTATAAGTCAGTTGGGCATGGCACGTTTTGGTTATACCAAGACCGAGTCTTGGTCTTACCTTTGCACTGTATCGGAAAGGCGAGGGAGAGGCAAAAGATTGAGTTGGAAACGAATCCCGTCCTTCGCACTGGAAACACGAGGATTCACTCACATCGTCATCGCTATCACAGTCCCCTTGGCATTCTCCCAGAGGCAAGTACGCTGCATTCGGATGCCCCCCAAATCCCTCCAATGGGAGCAGCTTCCTCCGCACCATCCGACTCTGTCTCCCAAGTCTCAAACTAGTCTCTTCTATCAAAGTTACAAGCGGTTTCCCTTGGATTGGCCAAGCTAGACAGGACGTAAGCAACCATGCGGCGACAACTGCTTGTTTTTTCATCATTGTAGGCAATGTCCTGGAAGAAGCTTAATACTTTCGCTAACGGAGCTAAGGTCAAATACTATGGGCCATTTTTCGTCCACCTTCCCCTCTTTCTTGCTCTTTTTTGTCCAAAAAATGAGTCGTCCGGAGTTCCTAAGAGGTGCGCGTTGTGCTTGGGATCTTTCGCAGTTTCAGACCAGGGCGGCGCTCTCGCACAAAGGCCGCTTTGCTCCTGTGTCTGGAACTGTCGCAGTATTGTACTGCCTCACAGCATGGAAAGAGGATCGTTGAGCCGGCGTGTCGTGTAAGAGTCTTGCATCATACGACTGTACATCGAGCCACTCATCGCCAAGCATTCCAGTGGGGGTACTGGTACCACCTTACCGGTAGCTCAAACAGGTCGTAAGCGGCGAAGGTATGGGAGTTCTCCATGTACCTGAGCCAGTCTAACGCTTCGCTGCCATCGCCTTCCAATCACTAAAAACCATCCCTACGCGACCACGGCAGTGCATGGCGTCGGGCACTACTTGTCATGGCTGTCTTGATACCGGTATGCAATGGAGTTGACGAAGGATAACTGTTGTTTTGTATAGCGTTTTATTAGTCCAATGGAGCTTAACGACCACCTGATATAACCATGCGAGCAAGACATATCATAGCTCGCTTTGGTTCTCGGCCTTCTCTAGCTAGTTTGAATAAGCATTGGTCCGCATTTAAGGGTCCAAGGTTGGCGGTCGTCGGACACGACACCAGTAGCTATGAAGCTCCAACATGCGCTTGGAGGGTTTTCGCCGTCCCATCGTATCCTGTACTTCGTCCACGAAACCTTGAAGGCTTTGGTCGGGCAACAGCCGCTTCTGGTCGCCTCGTTTTCGAAAGTGCCAATATGCCAAGCGAAACTTGGAAGGATTGAGCCGAATCTCCCGCAAACGACGCGGATCCGCAATGTCCAGGGTTTGGCACCACTCAGTCAAGAGACCTTCATCGTTATCCGGAAAGGGAACGGAGCAACGATTGGGATACCCAATTTCGTGGCATAAGGCCATTCCACAATCACAAAGTTTGCAACCGGGCAACATGGGTAAGAACTCTTCCCCCAGGTTGAGGCATGCAATCGTTGCATCGTGTTGCATCATAGCATTGCCAGGAAGTGCTGAAGGAGGTAGCTTTGCGTCCAGCATGGACGGATAGGATGGACGCGCCAAGCCACCATGATCGGATGATCCTCCGGTTGTTGCGAGACGATTGATCTCGGAAGAAATAATAGAGTTGAGTTGCTGCTGCACTGTTGTAGGCGTGGAGCCACTGGCAGCCAATGCCTGAGCCAAAATGAGCTGATGTGCAGCTGCCGCATTGGCAGCCGCGAACAGTGCCGGATTGAGAAACAACGAGCTGGCAGCCGCTGCCTGTTGCGCCTGCAGAGGGTTACCATAATGCGCCATGAGAGCTGGAGACATCATACTTGCTCCAGCACCAACATGATTGAGCGTGTCTTCGCACCTCATGCCGGCATGTAAACTCGCACTCGACATTGATTGCGCCGACTCGTGAGACATCTTGGCTCGTTTGTTTTGGTTGGCTTTCTGAAGTAGCGTTTCGTCGTCGAAGGAGGCGCGCTTTCCTCCTGCCTTGGAGCCACGAGGAGAGGGTAGCCGACGATGATTCTTGGGAGACAGTGGATTGGCTCGAACCTTGTTGGCTGCGTTCATGGAATCTTCTCGAATGCGCGCTTGCTCTTGCTGCGCACAAAACCCTAGGAATGCTCTCCACCCCACTTCAGACTGGGCAACCTGGACCTGCAGATTCTCGTTGTTCTCCATGGATGCTTGCATCAGATTCTTTATTGGGGATCCTCGAAGCCTCAAGGTTGTTAGTATTGTTTGTTGTCCCTACAAAATAGGTATTCTGGCCACCGAAAAGTGGAGAGAAGAGAGGAAAAATCTTTGAAGCGTGATCCGAACATCATCGCCCAAACCTCCAAGCGCTGGCCAGTCGCATTTTAGCGACAGCCATTTCGTGAGACCCGTACTGAAATGTTCACAGTCTTCAAATGCATCGGAACAAACTGGTGCATTGTTAACTTACGCTGTACAACTTTTGCAAAGCTCTTTAACCAACCAGCGATCAATGTCAGGTACAGTACTCAATGGTACCAAAGCCCTTTGCGATCGGTTGTGCCTGTTTCTGTAGACTTGTGATCTGCGGGGCAAATTTTGCAAGAGTGGCTTGATATGCCCAAGCATCGCTGACTGCGGTTCGCCAAAACCACAGAGACACACAGGTGCACGTCAATGACAATTCTGTGAATTCCAAATTGATGCGAGAGCTATGCATGGCATAAGCCAGATAATAATAGATTTACGTGGTCAGGGATCGGAGATCGGAGGGCACTACTGACTGTAAACTGGCGGTGATGGTGTGCTTGATCTCGACTTCGGAGGGAGGAGCCGTAAAAACATACTAGTACGGTAGATGTTTGACTTTGTTTCTCCGTTCGACAATACAAAATCTTCATCCCCTTGGAAAGATCATGCATGATGCTTTGTTGAGCATTGCTTGGTCCATGGAGAGCCATCACATCGACGCGGTTTGCCCGCTACGGCGTTTGGTACCAGTACGCTCTTCCAAATTGAAGGTGTTGGATGTTTCCTTCTCCTCCCTCCAACCAAGTAGATCTAAGCAAGGGAGAAAGTAGAATGAGCCTTGGACGACACCTTTCTCTCTGTGGCACTGTACTTGTGGTACAGTATCATGGTGGAGATTCAGTGGTTCTCCCAAGCCCATCTTGCGTTCATGATAACGAGCACTTCACCGTGGTACCGGTAGTTCATTGATCATTAGAGTTCAGGTTGGAGATCTTTCTCACAACTTCAACGTTTCCATCAGGCATCACCAATCCTCAAGCTCAAAATCGGCACACACATGCATGTTTTGTTTGCTATTGGAAACAACCCAAATGATGAAACTCTTTGTGCTATCCGCAATACTCTCCTTGCCATGGTTGGCAACTGGATCCTCGTCCGAGGGTTCTCGCAATGTTTTGGCATTATCCGAATGGGCGCAAGAACAAGGAATAGTGATGCATTCCAGCCTCAAGTTCAAAGAGTACAAGAATGCCGATGACGATGATGAAGCCAGCAGCAATTGGGGATTGGAGTTGGCAGAAGCTGTCAAGCCTGGAACCGTCCTCCTACAAGTTCCTCGTCAACTCTGCCTCGAAGCCAGTGCTTTGCGAAACGAATTTGAACAAACTCTGGGAGCCAGCAAACTCCAATTGGCACTCGATGCGCTGGGACCCGAGTTTGCCAAGTTGCACGAGGATAACTTTTGGATTGTCCTCAAGTTATTCCAACTTTGTCGCTGTCAATCAAATGACAACAGCAGCAGCAACAACAAATGGAGTCCTTGGATTCAAGCCATTCCCAGAGCATTTACAAGATTCAACAAAGAAGAACAGGAATGTCTCCCATACTATGCCAAATATGCGGCAGAGTATCAAGACCAAAAGTTCGATGCCTTTTGCAAAGCGGCTGCTGCCATGGGAGAATTATCTACTCAGGATAATAATATCAAGGACGACGACACGCAACAATTGCTGTGGGCATTTCAGGCCGTTGGAAGTCGCTTTTGGAAAACACAACCTCCCGCGGATTCTCCGGCACAACCCACCAGCGAATTGGTACCCATTGGGGATATGTTTAACCATCGCGAACCACCCAATGTCAAGATTCAATCGCATCAAGATGGATCCGTCAATTTCATCTATGACGGAGACGAGGGAGAAAAGGATCTCTACATTACTTACGGCCAAAGCAGCAATCCTCATCGATTCCTCGTCATTTTTGGCTTTTGTCCAACAGCCCAGTTCATGCCCACCATGTGGTCTCAACTGACATATCCCGACAACCCCTTCTCGGCCGATGTTGCCAATATGGTCTTCCAAGTGAACGACAATGACGACAATGAGTCGCCCGTAATAATACCCAGAGTGATTTGGGATGCTGTGTTGTATGCACTCGACGAACCACCCAAGGACGCACCGCCTCCAACCTACACGGTCGAACGGCACAACAGACCCCATGTCAAAAAGTATACACGGCAGGTCCTGGAGCACCATGTGGCCCAACAATTGAGCGAGTTGGCGGCATGTAGGGAGAAGATTGAAACGATGGGAAGCACCACCAAGAATATGGAACTGATACGGCAACACAATGCGTTTGTGACGGGCGTGTTCGAGAGGGTTGAAAAGCATTTGCAGGAAACCAGTGGTCAAGACGTCCTCCCCACAGAGTAGCCAGCTAGCTAGCTATTTTGATGCGATAGTCTAGAAAGATAATGCCAAGCATATTGGTCGCGTTTTGTACGTGCTAAATAAACAGGGCAGCTAATAACAATCTTGCGAGCTAAACCATAGAAGGCGACTCGACTCATCTAAGCCAAAGACCTATTGCTCCTAAGTCCTAGCTAGACGATCATCTGGATCTATGTCTGGACAAACTTCTGTCGTAAGGCCAGCCCAGCACCCGCGATTGTTGCCTACTAGGGAGCGAAGCTGTCCTACTTCAGCTTCTTTCCGAGCGCCAACGAAGTGAAAGCAACGCATTGTTCGAATATCGTTTCGAATACTTGGAAAGCCTAACTAGCCAACGGATGCCGGTAGCTACCTTAGCCATTGGTTGCTACCTAGCTAGAGTCGTTGCTATGGTTATTGCACTAGTTATGTCGTTTGCCGGGAGAGTCCTTTACTATTTTTATTTGTTTACAAACAATCGACTTGGTTGGAAATGGTCAAAACGGCGGGGCGGATTGGGTTGGTGGTAAGGGAGGAAAGGTACGGTACAGTCGTAGCATCTGAGAGAGAGAAAAGAGGTCGAGAGAGAATGAGAAGAGTCGTTGTCGTGGAGGTTCCTTCCTCTTTCTACACTATTTATTGTTGTCCAACGACCGTCGGGCCCGGAAGAGCTTTTTCCCGGGCAACATGGAGGAATGCTTGGAGGGGAGTGGTGTGGGTTGCAGAGGACTGGCCAGCAAGAATGTCAAACAGTGATGCATCTCCGCCATGGTGGGTCGATGATCAATCTTCTTGGCCCATCCTCTCTTGAAGAGCTTGGCGATATTCTCTGGCCATCGCTCGGGCATGGGAGGTCGTTCGCTCTTGAGGGCGACAGTTTCTCGAACGGCTTCTCCGTCCATACCCTGGTAGGGTTTTTCCAACGCCAACATTTCCCACAACAATATGGAGAAGGAGTAGACATCGGCCTTGAAATTGTATGGTTTTCGCTTCATCACTTCGGGCGCCATGAATCGTGGTGTACCCGTGTTGCCACTGAGGTCATACAATTGGTTGGGTTTGTCCGAGTAGGGAACCTCCACGGCGAGCCCAAAATCAAAGACCTTGAGTACGCCGTTGGCGTCAAACCCAATGTTGGCGGGCTTGATGTCACGATGCAATATTTGATGATCGTGCAAGTAGATGAGTGCCGAGGCGACATCCAAGGCGGTTCGAATCCGATCGACAAAGAAATCCATCGTCATGGTGTTGGTGGTCAAATTGTCCAGATGCTGGAGATGAGGATTGGCATCGGCTTTTTCCTTCCAATCGGTAAAGATCCGCTGGCTGAGAGTGCCGGTGAGACGATCCAAGACCATAAAGAATCCATCGGCCCGTCCTCCCGTGGCCTTGTATCCATGTATACCATGAGTGCTCAATCCTCGCAGAGCAATAATGTTGGTATGATTGACGGCACTAAGAATGTGGGCCTCGAGCACGAGATCTTTGGCACCGGCAAAGACCTTGTCATTGTCCTTATCTTGCAGGAATTTGGCAATCAATTTGGGGTTGAGATATTTGAGGACGTACTCTTTGTCTTCGTTTTCATCTTCGTTGAGTTCACATCCTGTAGTGAACCACTTGATTTCCATAATGACGGCGAATCCACCTCGGGCAATGGGTTCCCCCGTCTCGACGTCGGTGTGGCTAAAACGGGGTACATCAAAGCCACAATGACGTTGCAGAAATCGACTGTGCTCTAGCACTTCGGTAACTCGCTTCTCCATGTGTGCTACCAACTGATCCGAGACGTCTTTGGGCAACGGATAATCTTCCACCTTGTAGTGGCGGACCCCGCTCTTCTTGGGGGTTGGAGTGGTGGCCGAAGTGACGGCCGTGAATTGGCTCTCCTCGGCATTATCTCCACTTTCTCGTTCATTCTGATCGTCGCTTTGATGTTGAATAATCTGATGGATATTGGTGGGATCCGAGGTCATGCTGTAACTCGAGCCATAGGGATCGCTCGAGTTGGTCGCCGCGCTGAGCAAACTCAGACGACGCTCCGTTTCTCCCGGCGGTGGATGAGGGGAGTTGGGATAAGGACTGCTCGATCGAGACGATGCTGTTGGACCATGACTTAACGAGGCAGAACGAGGGTACAGAATGCCCGATCCAGGGTTCTCATCGTCGTACAGATCTTCGTCGGCCATGTTGATGTTGCTGGTTTTTTTATTAGTAGAACTCTTCTTGCCTTTTTGTTTTTCAAAGTGATTTTGAAGGGAGTTGGAGCGAGCAGTCATGCTGCAGCTGCTTGGCCGCTTTTATGCTTGATAAAAGTTGGTCTAGCTAGCTAGCTAGAGCAAATGGGTGCGAATCGAATCGAATCTCGAGGATGGATACCCACGAAACGAGGGCGGTTGGAGTCGGGATAATGATAATGCACTGAGGGGTATATCGAGTGGGCTGATTAATGGATAACGGAGAGTGGGTATATGCACGGTGGAGGTCAAGCTAGACGGACTTTCGGCTGGGCTGGTTACCAAAGAGATACGCATGTACCCTTTTAGTCTGGTCTGATTCTAGCCAGCAAGCCTCAAAGCAGACTGGTTCCTTGAGGTTTGAGGTGGTGGTAAAATAAATTCGTGTGGTCGTTGTGGAAGCACAGCGCTGCAGCCTACTGGTACTAGCTGGTGGACTACTGTACTGCAGACGTTGCCAAGAACGCTCTATCATGTCTGCCAGGGAAACGCGGGGCATCGTTCAAGCAGAACAGACCCGAAATCGCCAAAGTCTGAGAATGACTTCATTGCTGGAAAAGGGAACCGAGTGACTGTTTGAATGTAGATCCACCGTGATCATTTTTGTTGGTTCTTATTCCCATAGTGGAACATCCACTTTCCAACTTCCCAACCATCAGTTTGGGAGAATTGACGGGAGTGACTTTTAGGTTAGATACCAATTCAAGACCACTACCAACTGCTAGCATAGCAGTAATCAATCAACAGTGGTGTGTGTACTACTGAACATGTATTAGCAAGTAGAGCTGAATCAGATGGGTACTGGTAGCTTCTGACTTGAAGCCTGGTGCTGCTCTCATCCTTGCCACTGGATGCCCTTATCAAAAGCTTTCTTGATACTGCAGCTCGCTCAAACTCTGGACAACCACACGCATGCATCCTGCATCATTGAAAATCATAGTTATGTTGCTGATTAGCGATAGACAATGAACTGGGCCAAGAATACCTGGTAGAAACTAGCTAGATCCCAAATGCTGCTGACTTTGGGGAACAGAGGCTCTACACTAATACCAGTACTGCCAGTTCAGGTCTACCGGTAGAGCTACCGGTAGCCAACAGGCAGATTGAATACATTCTCTTTTGATACTTGCAATGGATAGGGACGGGATAGATTGGCCAAAGGTCAGATCGTTGACCTTGTTTTGAAATATCTTCAAATAAGCTTGTGGTTTGCAAAAGTCATTTTCGTACATTCAATTAAGCCCCTTCAAGGACTTTTTTGTCATACTGTTACGTTTCGTAGGACACTTTGCCACTGAAATGTCTCAAGTTGTGATGAATATGATAGACTCATGCCCCGAGGTGTTAGGACTAAACATGGTTCGCATTTGTTTAAAGGATCTGCACCAAGACATTTTTGTATCAATGACCGCGACATTTTGTGTAATTCTGCACAGTGGAATGTTAACTACTTGGAAGCAACCGGGACATTTTAGGTGGAAGGCAAGATTGGATTTCTTAGGCCTCATTGTCCCAGCAGCGCTCGCACTCTGCACTATTATTACAGCCTTGGTTGTTTTATTACTACATGCCACCGGTATGGACTTCCTCAATGCCAGGTTCCAGAGGAAGTGCATTCCAGGCCATGGCCAGGTCAGGACATGTTTGGGATTTCGGGGGAGCAGAGGGTCCAGGGCTACTAGCTAGTACAACAACGACTACAGCATTAAGGATTCTAGGACTACCGGTGCATGCATGCATTTATTTCCAGCTAGTTCTATGCACATAAACATCCTTCCAGGCTTTTACCGCAGGATAAAAGATTACAGGACCACAAGTCCACGACCAGCATGTACCTGGGTGCCTCCATGCTTACCAGCAGCTCTTTGACCACTTACCCTTGCTTTGCAGGCGAACGAAGACTCGCACTCAACTCGACTCCCATTTGCAAAGGCAGCAGTCGGGCTGAGGTTTGACTACTGTTCCTGGATAGGAGCTCACCATGGGAGCTTCATGCTCTGACTGTCGCTCTGGAGATTATCATCCTTTCGATGATCTCTTCTGTTCTTCTTGCGCTTCTTTCTCGTGCTGCCTATTGGGCTGTTTCGGTTGCTTTGCCTGGTACCGGTAGTGCTACCAGTATGCATATCTGCAGCAGCGACTACTGTTGTGTTCGTTGCTTGCTACTAGCTAGTAGTACCGTACGGGAGACAGCTGGTGGTTCAGGGAGGCTAGTAGTTCACCTATGATTGTGTGGTTGTGCTGAGGACTGTGGTGGCACCAAGAATTCCTCTGGCAGTATGTGCTGTTGACCATTGCTGTGCCCAGCCATGTTGTCTGCCCACTGAGAAAAATTGTTTCTTGACAAATGGCTTGTTCGTAGCAATCCGATAGCTATATGTACAATTCCTCTACCATTAGTCTAGACTGGCTAGCTATCCCCAAAAGTCGACCTCCACAATTCGGAAATTGTCAAGTCGAATCTGCCACAAGGCCCCATTGCTATTCTCTGCATTGAGGAACCCCCCAATGCTCATTCGAACAGGCGTATGGGCCACCAAAATTCCAGGATCAATCGATGCGTGCTTCCAACGAGGTTCGTAGATATGAGGAGCACTGAATTCATCCACGGCTACTCCAGGTTCGTCATCTCGTTGAAAGTAGATGATGCCCTTGTCATTCATGACATTGTGAAGAATATCCGCATTCCCACCAGCTGCTTCATCTTCATTATTTGCATTTGGATTATCAGGAGCAGCATCAGAGGCCGCTTCCACTGGAGCTACATTGAATCTTTCGTCTGTCCAATGGACATGATAGTCAAACTTGATTCTGGCACCCACAATGGTACGATCCAGTTCGAATTCCAGTTCAAAACCAGCATTGGCGCAGCCTTTGCTTTTGGAATGGAATTGAAGTTTGAGACCTCCAGTGGTGATGTGACCATTCTCATTGTCGATTCGTTTGCCATATCGTTGGCCTTGATGTTCTCCCCACAAGTTGCCCATATCACCCGTTCCCATGGGCCCTAATCCAAAGACGCATGGGGTATACACCCAACTGGTAACTGGTGAATCAAAATCATCTACCATAACAGTGTTAATTTCCTAGCATCATTGGGAGAAGAGGAAAGGAGATGAACTCTTTGAGGGGAAGTCACAATAACGCTACCTCACTACAGCTGCTAACTAGCTAGCTCTAGCTAGAGAGCTAAACACATGAAAGACGCGAAAACCGACTGTTAACCTATGTCGTACCTGTTCTCTTAACTCTCCTTCCCCATGCTTCTCTGTGAGAGCCGCAAAGGTGTTACCCAAAAAGAGAGTAAACAAAAGGACAGAGCAGCGCATTCTTATTAGTATTTGGTTCAGCTAGTTCTTCTGTCTTGGCAACTCTGATAGGCCAGTATTTAGAGGTTGTGTGATGTGCGCTGCGGCTAACTAAAATGAGATAGTCAATGCAAAGGAGCATGATGAGTGCAGTTTTGAAATCCCACAACAAGCAAGAAGCAAGGAAAAGCAACTGCCAAACGAATTTTCGCGCGATCTATTTTGGATAACATGAGCATGACTGATTGTCATCGACAACCCACCTCGCTCGACTGGGCAGTGAAGCAATCGCCAATCACAAAGTCCTTCCATTTGCAAACAATACAAAGCGATGTCACGTAGAGTAGCGGGAGTGCAACAGGTATCTGTGCGGTTAGTTCCTTTGGAATTTCGAACATCTCCCACCACCATTGTATGCAGTAGCGTTCTGTTCTGTTATGTTCTGCTTGGCAGTACTGTACATACCAGCACCAGTCTCAATCACCTGATTCTTGTTCAAGCATCTCTTTGCAGAATCATCAAACGCATCCACATCTTTGAACCGAACTGAATCGAATCAAATCCCAAGCAACAATTATGATAATATCAACAAGACAGTCTTCTGTCGGAAGACCATGGTTCAGCCTTGCAACGTTGTCATGGCTAGTTCTTCTTCTGCTGCTGCAGCCTTCCACTGTCTTCTTGGCGATGGCGCAAGGAGACCAAGAAACCTCTGAGGACTTGCAGGATTTGCTGGATTTCTTCACGGAGCTCATTTCAGGCCGCCAAGACACAGGTGACACTGAAGGGACACAAGAGCGAGTCTCAGATGTCGATATCCAAGTCTTGTTTGCCAACCTGACCATCCCCGAAGACTTTATTGGAAAGCTGAATACCGATATCTTGCTTTCCAGTCTCTTTCGTCCCATCCTGGCCCATTTTGGCATTCCTGGCTACGAGCAGTATATTATGCCTCCCAGATTCAAGAACAGCTTTCCAGATCCTGTTTCTCCGTTTGCCAGCCAGTGCCAACTCTGCGATGGCGACTACGACAAGACCAAATCCTTTGCCGACATTTCCTGTCAGGCATGGGAGATATTTGCGGGATTCTCAGAGGGTTCGGAATGTTCCATATTGCGAGGCGTTGCGGTCAAATCGTGCGGATGCAACATGTGGCAACCCGACGAACCAGTGGTGTACCCACCCACGTGTGAGTTGTGCCAAGGCGAAAAGAGCCATGAAGACATGCAGACTTTCTTGACGACCTATGTCAATGCCAACCGGATGCTACCCACCTTGTCCCAGAGGCTTTACTGCACAGATATCCTTCGACTTCTTGCCGTGGATGGAGAGGACGTCACCTGTGCGAGCCTTTCGGAGTTTGGTGCTCAATTCTGCGGATGTTCCTATGTAATACCGCCCACTACCTTGAAGGAACAAGACAAAGATCAGCAGGAAGAAGACATTTGCACCCTTTGTCCCAAAGGAACGCTACCCAAAACACCTGAAAAGGTGGTCCTATTGAGCTTTGACGGCAATCGAGACAACGATACTACCTGCGCATCACTGCACAATGAGTTCACGACACTGGAGGACCTGGACAGCTGCAGGGCTGGTCATTTCCAAATGTCCACTGCAGTGGGACACGACGTTCAAACCTTTTGTGGATGCCCCAAACATCCCGCACCCTGGGCGGGCCAAGAGGGAGAACTCGAGCCTGGTCCGTGCAGTCCTTGTCAACCAGGGTACATGGTGCGAACGGACAACGCCGAAGCACTCTATCAGTCCACCATGATTCAAAGGTCGGGGGCAAAGGAGCTGCCGCACGTGAATTGTCAAGACTGGGCCAAGACCTTGGCGACACTCGAGGACGGCGATGACCTCTGTATTGCACTACAGGCCTCCGTCATGCCAGGTTGTTGTGTACCGGAAGAGCCACAAGAACAGGAAGAGTTCCCCCCGACGACGATTCAAGAAGTTCAGAGCGAATCAGGTGGCCACACGTTGTTTTGGCGCCTCCATGCGGGCGCAGCGATTGCGTTAGTGTGGGCCGCCCAGTCGTACTGGTAACCAAGAAGAGCATTAGTTGAGATGATGTGGCTAGCTAGCCAGCCTACGTGCAATAGCCTACGTGCAACAGCTCGTGCAACTGAGACTACCGACGCTGGCCAGCCAGTTTTCCCTGAGCCATGGAGAATGGGCGCCAGCTGAAAATTCCCGCTACAGCACTGCAAGAGATCGGCGACGAAACAGGGCTTCATCATCATGTATATTGAAACATTCGATTCCATTTATAAAGACTTGCATGAAGTGCCAGCAACCCAGGAGGATTGCATTGGAACGATTCGATTCTGAGCAGATTGGAGAGAGAATCGATGTGCCTTCTGGAATGCAGGTCATACATATTTTACATTACACTATTCCTTATAGCTAGATTGAAGATTCTTCAATTCAGTTTCATCTATTTCAAAGAATTGCAGACCTTTGCTGAGCAGGAGGGAGGCCTAGCGGTAGTACGGTACCAGGTACCGGTACCGGTAGCTAGGCTAGCCTTGTCAGAGGTGCCAAAAATTACGCTTACGGACCATTTCATTTCCTAGACAGCCTAGAGCCTGGACCAGCGACATACTAGTATGCATACTAGCTAGCTAGTACGACGATGGCAAATGTTGGGTGTTTGTGATCGAGAAAAAAATGTAAGTGGTGGCGTGACGCTTTGCCTTGGGCTCCCGCGACCGCCCTTCTCATTATTTGAGACTTGCTTCTTGATTTTCAATTTGGCGAGTTTTGCTTCCTCATTTTTTGAGGTTGATTTACTTCAGCGAAAACCAAAAAGTCTCAGCCATCGTTGCCAAATAAATCATCTTGTGCATTGCGATTGAGGAAAGGCTCGACGGCATTGGAGTGTCCTAGCTTGAACGAACAATAATACAGTTTCACAGCCACCATGAGATTCCGCACAAGTCTCCTTGCTTCCTTGTTGGCGTCCAGTGTCCTTGCCAATGACGATCCGGTTGTCCAAGATTTTCAAGAGAACACGGCAACCAGTTTGCCTCCTCTGGTCGCCGTCTTCGACGAAGACATTATACAGTTGTTCCTAGGTCTTTTTCCTGCTGAGATTTTGCAAGACGAATCAGCGGTCGAGTCTCTTGTGGCACAGTTCCAAGCATCCCCAGCCTTCTTTTCGCAGCTGTTTGCCAACGCGAACATTGACCTCGTGGAGCTGGGCATTCTGCCCAATCGAACCCAAGTGGAGCAGGGAGAAACTGAGTCTTCGAATCTAGATCTAGTAGGAATCAGCGACGCCATTGGCGGATTGTTCCAACTTGGCGCCGAATTTCTGGGGTTTTCAGTCGATTCGGGTCCACATGGTTTCTTGGTGTTTGATGAGGATGGGGTTTACACGAACCACACGCTGGAACAAGGAATGAAACAAGTGGCAGATTTCTTTGGAGTGGACACGTCAAAGCCTATTGAAGTTGCAAACTTTGTGGATAGCTATGGAGAGTGTGAGTTCTGCGACAGCAGGCACATGTCACCCAATCAACAATTCGCCGGATTGCCTTGCTCTGATTGGCTCATGTTCTCCCTCTTTGCCAAAGAGGACGAATGTTCCCTGCTACGAGCTGTTGCTATTGAACATTGTGGATGCAAAACTGAGACCCTTGCCATTACACCGTCCACTCCAGCCTGCAACCTTTGTCCGGACGGGTCACTGAATGGAGTCAAGTTGGACAAGACAATACCAACCTTGTCTCATGAGTTGAATTGCTACAATATAAGTCAGATCACTGCAGTAGAAGGAGACAGGACATGTGATGCCGTAGCAGGCTTTGGGTACTTTTGTGGTTGCGAAGAAGTTGAACCCGCATGTCAGCTGTGCCCTGCTGGATCTTCGCCTACCCGACCGGATGCAATCCTCCAAGAGAGATTTGTCGACAAGCAGGGACCAGAACTGATGGTTCTTCGAAAAGCAAACTCTGAAGGCTTGGAGAAACCACATGACCTGACATGTTCTGCCTTTGCAGATTCCCTAATCCAAAACACTAAGTCCATGTGTACCGATGAGATCCAAAATGTGGAACGAGCTACGGGTTTGTCCGCTCGGGCCTACTGTGGATGTCCCAACGTCATTGTCGAGACAACACTCATCGAAAACAATGGTGGTTGTGATCCTTGTCCAGCTGGATTCAAGTTGAAGGACGCTGTCCTGGCACTGTCAGACAGCACATACATCGTGGGGACTGTCCTTTCAAAGCAGTTTGATGAGAATGCCAATAACGATGTTTTGCTGGATACCCCCAGTCTGCCCATCCGGACTTGCAAGGAATGGGTATCCGATTATGCTCCCTTTCTGGTCAACGAGGCAAAATGCCTCACAGTACAGCAAGCTGTAGCACGACAATGCTGTGAGATTAATGATAACCCCGCTGGTCCAGAAGATCTTAATCTTGGCAGCGATCCTGGACCAGAAGAGGTCAAGCTTGTCGTACCCAAGAGTCGTGGTTCAAGTTCGCGTTTGGCGGCCCTCTCAGCCCTGTTTGTGTCCATAACAGTAGCCTACTTTCTGTAGAACATCCGATGGTGTATATTGACGATAACGGTATACAAAGTTGCAAATGACCGGCTTCTAAAGGAATCCTCTAGTAAATTTCATAAAGTAGCATAAGCAATGACATGTACTCTCTGCTAGACGAGTTGGCTACAAGGCTTACAGGCTTCGCCGTTCATTCAGATATTCCCGGGACGACGGTGTGGCACCTGAGCAACGGAATGAATGGAGGTGCAGTACTCGTACTGTACCTGTCCTCTCACCACGTGCCTATAGGCCTAATGGAACTTAGTTTGGCAAAGCCAACACCACAGCACACACATGCATTTGGGTTTCTTCCTTGCGGAAAGTAACACCTCTTAGTACTTTACGGTATGATAGTGCACTCCAGCGATAAGTCGAGATATCCTGCCGGTGCTTTCTCAACAAGCCCTATGATTTCCTGAAGATTGCAGATTGTCGATATCTTTGAGAGTGGCTCCTGTTGTGCATTGGACGCCACCACTTGTATGATACATAGAAGTATTTTTTTAACGTTTAGCTTCTTCTTGTTCCAGTTTATACAAGGCAGCCAGCCGCTCTTCTTCGTCCCGTGCAAGACGTTCCAGCCTCTCCTTTTCTTTTGCAGCTGCATCTTGCACTCGTTGATTGGTGTACATTTTTGTCTTTTTCGGCGCCGATGCCAAGATGGCTTCAATTTGCAAGTTTTTGAAGGGGACTATAAAAAATACAACGGGGAAAGAAGCGAGGCAAAGTTAGTTGATGGGATCAGATTGCTCATCTCGAGATGGATCATGATGACTCGTCACTAAAAATATCAAAGACACGTACTCTTGGCCTCCCGACAAGCAGCCTGCACCTTTAATGGCGATCTTGGATCCGTGGAACTTTCAACGACATCACTGAGACCAAACGCGGTCCCATCAATCAGCCTCACGATGACGGTTTCTCCCTTGGGGCCTGAAAATTCGACTCGTTGAATAGATCGAGCGGAATCACGGACAATGATAAGAAATTCGTCGGTTGTCAGCAGTGGGACGCTTTCCGCCATGGCTCCCAGAGGCAAGCCCACACTCACGGTGGCTGCTGCTGTCAAAGCCTGAACCAAAAGATTTCTTCGACCATTCTCGCTGTGGGATTCCAATCGACTGGCAGCAAGTGCAGTCTCTCCCACGGCTGCTTTTGGAGGCACTGGTGCAACGACAGTGAACGCCGCAGCAGCGGCCAAGTTGATGCACAAAAGCAGTGCACGAAACGATGAAGAATAAATCATAATATAAATCAATCCAACAATAATAGATCCACCGTGTCGTTAGTCGGTATCTGTCCCTTCTCTTGGTGAGTGTGTGGGGTATCTCAGAGTCGGGTCAAGTGGCTCTCTTGATGGTGTCCAACCAAGAAAACAAGAGCTGAAGGCTCCAGGTGGTGTGACGTCACTCTGAGCGCACAGTTGACCAAAAGAAATCAATCATGAATGGGACTCAGTGACGCATCATCGCCAGGGGACCTTCACCTCACCACACAAAAACTGACTCAGAAAAGGGCACCACCTCAGCAACAATGCCACCACCTCTACCGCCAACACTTCATGCTGGAATTAGCTACTCCGAGTATTCGACCTCTGGCTGTTTACTGGTTCTAGGTTCTATTCCTTCGCTAGCTAGCTAGGTAGGTAGGGCTATTGATATGGCGACTATGCTTCTCCTCATCGAGATGCTGATGATAAGATAGATTCATGCTCACCGGGATTGCTACTGGTACATGCAGCTATTTGGAGTAGCATAGCCGCTACCGTTGATGGGGCAATGGCATCAATGGCATCACCAACGGTGTGGCCTGCTCCAGATACTAGTACCAAACGGCAAAACCCAAACCCAAACCCACGGGCCTCAACTCTTAAATGATAACTTTGGTTTAGTCTCTAGAGATCGGATAGTAGACTAGTCGCTGGAGGACTAACCCAAAAAGAAGGCGAAGGCGAGGTGAAGCGACAAGGAACCGCGTTACAACAACAACCAAGAAGAAGAACAACTTCCTTATCATGGCAACCGCTCAAATGTGAAGAAGAAGAAGCATCGATGTAGCCCCAGCTGTCGTGGCAGCCAAGCAGCCCTCTCAACCACTAGCTAGCCATGTAGTTCCAAGAAGAAAAGAACAGGCCGACTTCCTCCGCCTGCTTGATTGCAATTGCCAGAGCTACCACATGTATGTACGGTATTGCTTGCCCGGTGGTTATAGCAATGCGGCTCTTGCGTGTTGCGTGCTCAAATAAATATTCAGCATACAGCCACTCCAACTGCCCAGTTCCCCAAGTGCTATGGATAAGGCAAGATTAAAACGGAATACCTGACGATGGAAGCCTTGTATAAAGAACCTGTACCAGCTCTGTACCTATGGCCCTCATGAATAGTTGCCAGAGGTTCGAGGCTCCCGTTTGCAGAAGGCGATAGTGCTTGGCCTACAGATGGGCCGGAAAGCTGCTGAAACAGGGCAGTAGGGCTGCCGAAAGCTAGTGCCGCATTTCTACTAGCAGCGCACTTTGTTGAGCGACTTGATCTCATTCACATTCACATTTCATTGTATTCTGCTTTCCATGAAATGCGAACTTTCAGGAGCACATCAAGCATGGGAATTAAAATTCAGGGGTGTTGGATTTGAGAAGGGGGCAATTTCTCTTCGTGTCAGCACTCATCGTCTTAAGGCTATCGTAAACATATGATTTAAAGGATTGTTCTTTTGTGACTTCCGGAGAAATTACGTGATTATAAACATTGGAACTGTAATCTTCCCCTGCACAACTACCCAAGCTGCCACAATACTGCCACAATACAAGCGACTTTTGCTGGCCGCCAGCTTGCTGACGCAGAAGTCAGCAACAGCCCCATCTGTTCTCTCATTCCCCAGCATGATAATCAAAGCCTTCTTTTCCTTTGAACCCAGGTAGACGGGGCAAACAATTCTGCCAATTCGAATATTTTTAAATGATTCTGTATCTTTATCCACATATTTACATAAGCTACCAGCGAATCGTTGTCTTAGCATTGCCGAATGGAATGCTGGGAATAATATGCAAGCTGGTGCGAGTTGCAACAAGGTCCGCAGACATTTGTTCTTCAGTCGGTATTTCATACACGCTTTATCGGAGCAACAGATGCTTGCCAGCAACTTGTTCTCTGGTGCCAGCGCTACTGTTAGATCTATAGTAAAATGCCAACTGCCTCTCCTGCTGGTTCCAGGCTTCTCGGCTTCCCCCGTTTTTCAAACTTTGTTGGAACTTGCGCTCTGACTCAACGCTACATCAAGCTGTCTCCTTGCCCCTCCGCCCTCATCACTCGTCTCGATTGCACAAAAACGCACTCATTTACAAACCAACCCATTTCATCTTCCAGTTCGTACTGTACCGGTATTACTAATAGCCACAATGGACGACGTCGTTACCAGCATTTACGCTCTATTGAATGAGAAATCTCACCACAGCAACTTGCGGGTGGTTCAGGTTGTCAGAGAAGATGTCGTTGATCTGAACGACAGAGCAGTGGGATACATGCTCAAGCATGATTTCCAAAGCGCCCTTCAAACCCTTCAGCGTGCATTGGCCCATATTATGGCTCTCCAAGCCCATCCTCAGGCACTAAAGCAACGGCAAGTGCATGTATCATCTGTACACAAGAATGACGAGACTTCCATCGCTTCCATTTCTCTTGGCAACAGCCATCACGTCAAATCAGAACCCTTTGATGGCATCTTCCTCTTCTTCAATCGGGCCATGGTGATCCCTCATCACTGCGACTTTGACCTTTATTGCCCCAAGGATCAATCAAGAGCGTTGGCTGCAGTGCTCTACAATATCGCCTTGGTCTATCACATGGAAGCCATTCGATGTGGACAACATCAGACGACCTTGCTCAACCACGCGCTCCATTACTACGGCTTTGCATACCGTACCATCGAGTCAGCAGCCCCACAATATGGATTCCAAGATGTTCTTGTTTTGTTGTTGGCGCTCTTCAATAACATGGGACATGCTCACTCCATGTTGCTGGACAATGTCGATCTGACCCGACAGTGTCTGCAATGGATGCAGTCCACCTTTGCCAATCCCCGCGTCAAGCGACAGTTGTTCCCAGAGGATTATCAGTTCTTCTTCCAATACATTTCCGTCGCAGCAAGCCGACAGCTCCTCCTGGCACCGGCTGCTTGATATATTTGAATCCTCCCTCTTTCTGGCTTCCTAGCTAGTCTCCTTTTTCTAACTCTCTTGAACCATGTAACAAGTAATTACATTATTTATCTGACTACCGTGCCTGCACTCAATACCATCCATAGCTAGCTAGAAACAGAAGCAACCTGCCCATGCCAGCAACTCACGGCTGGTAGTAGTTTCCGCATGGATCCGGCACAATGGCTGGCTTCTTGTAAAGTTTGCTTCTGGAAGCATTGCCAGTACGGTAGGAACAAGTTGAACTGTAAACTGCAACTGCCGGCTATCTTGCTTCTTGGTTGGGCACGGTAGATACATGTACAAGGCATCCACTAAACGGTTCCTTTCCAGCCAATTGGCGGCTTCTGCTTGAGAATCCACAGGGTACATAGCTGGCTAGCTAGATCCATTTGTACTCACCGTACTAGCTTGTTCAACTCCAGGGGGAGCAATTGCAAGAGTTACTATAGCCAGCTGACTGGTGATGGAAAACTATAGCTTCTTTTAGATGTGTACAGAGCCATACCTCCAGGCTTCGCGGTCTTGGTGGATGTAGCTCAGAGAACTTCAACCGTTGCTTGTGTAGGTGAATTGCTCGGGGCGATTAGATGACAGGCAGCTTCCCTCTGCATCGAGCTACTGCTGGTGGTCCGGAGAAGCTACGGTATGCGGGAGCCAAGGGGCAACCAAGCGAAGCCGTCAACAAAAGCAACAAGAGGCAATAACCTGGAGGGTGTTGGAGGAAATACCTACCAGATACAGCCAGTTCGTCTCAAATAACAACAGTAAGGTGATTCAATTCACCATGCCTGAAACCCCTGCAACAGTGCCAAAGGGATAGATGTCACTCCTTCATGCAGCAAAGATGGGGCCATTCTAGTACAGTCGTATACACTTTAGACTAGCTAGCTAGGTAGTCAGCACAATCTGATGCGGGGTGGGTAACACGTGTTGACTTGCTTCGACGCAGCCAAAAACCGGGAAGAGACAGCAGGCAGTAGCAGCAAAGTAGCTAGCTAGGTAGGAGTTTCAAAGCAATCTTGGTTCCTTGCTTGGTTTCACTTCTTGTTGCCACATGGGCAATCGTCTTGGTTTGCTTTGTGGGTGGGAATGCGTCGACGCAGAAAGCTCATACTAGCTATGCCAGCAAACATGCGCGTCGTCAGATTGTTCAAGGCCCCTTCATACCGGTACTGTACTTTCAAGGCAGGGCACAAAGATGCATACAATACATGTAGACTACTGCCTTGCCACAGCCCGAATCCAGCCACCAGGCACAGCCCGAGTGACAGTCGAGTCCACCAGGCACAACCCGGGCCCACCAGGCGCAGCCCAGGCCCACCAGGGACAGCGACGAGATGAATTGCAACGAAATTCTGCAGTGACGACCGTCCAGGAGGCAATGCCCGGGCAGTTGGAATAGGAACGTCAATTTGCGTTGCCTTTCTTGCTGGACCGCCATGTGAGAAGTCGTTGCAGTGAAGGCAGTATCTGATGCCCTCCGCAAGTGCCCAAGTTCCTCGGCTTTTGGCTGACACAAAAAAACGCACTCTGCTCGCTGGCAAGCAACCTGGGTGGCCCGGATAGCTCAATGCATTGGCAATGCCGATTGCCGATCATCCCCGCAACCTCCTGGGTCTTCGGTCTTCAGGAATGTTGGATGACCACTGTCCCCATTGGTTCTCCTTCCCCCCTGCGTAAGGGTAGATATTCATATCTAGCTACTAGCTAGCTACTTATAATGTACTTTATCCCGCGAATAGTAGTACCGCATGAGGGTTCAGGAAACAGCAATTCATTGCCCAGCGCTTCTGTCCTTTCTTTGAGGCTTTGAGGACACCATACCTAGCTAGCTAGCCAGAGCTAGTCTTGGGTGTTGTGACGCAAGAATGAGCCGCGGCTACTAGCCAATGGCAAGACCAAAGGGTGCTGAGAGCTTATTCTTGGAAAAAGACCCAGACCACCTTCCAGACCTCAGCCAGCGCCTCCAGTTGCTGGTTGAAAGAAAAGACGGCACCAGGCGCTGCTCGGCTTCTCTTGCAAGAGGCTTTGAGATCACGAGAGTACTAGCAGCCTCTCTCTTTCTTGTGGTACCGTATTGGTGCTGCTGATTTCCACCGCCAACTGTGCTTGTTGTAAAGCCGAAGCAATTGTCTAGCTGGCTAGTGTAAATGCATTGTAAAGCAGTAGATGGTGTACATGTTGGTATAAATTGTATTCTAGTAGTTGTATAGCTGCAGTTGTTCTATGGCAGATTAGGAGGGGGAAGGAGAGGAAGAGAGGTTTTTATGCAGCAGGTGATATCAGGAGCTGTGCGCCTGCAGGAACGGAAATGTATTGGCTGAAGAATGCGTAATCCTCAGGAGCCAAAGCATTGTGCGTTTGGGGAGTAGCAAAAGTGGACTGCATCCAACTGATGCACTGTCGAGTCTTGTCACTGTCCATCATGAAACTGGAGTGAATGTGTCCCATGTTGTTGAAGAGTGCCAGTACCAACAAGAGCGCATCATCATGAGGGAATCCAAAGATCTTGGAAGAGTTCTCCAGCACTTGGTAGGCTCCACCGTAGAATTGGAGGGCATTGGCAAACGCAAGAGTAGAGTTGCCAGAGCAAACAGCTTCCATGTGACAAAAGACACCCAAGTTGTAGAGAATGGTAGTTTGGATGCGAATGCGACTGTGAGGACACGAAAGGGTAGCAAACCTCTCGTCGTCTTGAGGGAGGGTGATGGCTCGGTTAAAGAACTGGAAGACATCGTCAAAGGGCTTGGAACATTGGTCTCGTGCCAGGGGCACCGAGTAAGCCATTTGATCTCTTTGCTGTTCGTTGCTTGGTCTTACCACAGATACCTGATTGGATTCTTCACAGGTAAGGACCATAGCCAGTGCTCGTTGCAGAGTGGCAACTCCATCTTGGCGAAAGCCCTTGATGGCACAGACAATGGCTTCATTGTTGAGCTGGATAACTCGTTGGGCGAGAGATTGCGGTGGGGACATGGTGATATTATTGATTGAATGAGGGTTGTGATAATGAATCGGAGAGTTTGAGATTGTGTGCAAGGTTGTGTTTTTGGCAATTGTGAGCGGAAAGGAACCGCCAGAGATGTGGCGCAACACTTTGTTGGCCAACTAAGTAGGATCTGATGGTGGTTTGGTGCTGAGTTGGTTTGGTTATCGACGACTTCCTTTCTTTCTACAGCAATCTTTGGTATTGACTACCCACCATCCCTCACACCAATTGCCTCGGCACTGTTGAGTCAGCATCAGCAGCAGCCAGGAACAGCAGCAAGAAAGGCTCGTCAATAGTTGTTTTACAAACGCTGATTACAGCCACGTAATAGTGGACAGTTCACGCATTTCGGAGTCACTGAAGAATCTATCAAAGGCATTGAGAAGAGATACCTTGACTTATGGATCCTAGAACAGAGAACATGATCCACTTTTTTTTGCATCATCGCTTTCTGTGATTCTAGTAGGTTTCTGGTAGAGACTTGCGTCATTCTGAGCCGCGACTGTAGCATTGCCCTCCATCGCTTTCTCCGCTGACGAAGTCCAATACCGTCATGACAATAGCCATAAATAAAGTAAACCAGCAAGTTGGAAGGAGGCAATCTGTTTCACCATCCTGGCTTTGATCTTAAATCTGTTTATTGAAGACAAAACAGGACAGTTCGCATTGGGCACTCTGTAGTTATAATACCGAGAAATGATGCTTTAAGGCATTACGAATATGCGAAAATTTTAGCCTGCGGATCAGATCTTGGTTTGGTTTGCGACTTCCGCGAAAGGAAAACTGAAAATGACGCACTTTTTCGCTGTGGATTTTCAGGTTTGACCAAGGCCACACGTCGAATGACGAGTCACTGTCCCTGAGATGGAACGCTACAGAAGCCTGCTGCTGTCGACTGCAAGCAGATGGGAACCCTTGGCTACCCCAGCCTGTCCCTGTCTCTGATTCAAAAGTAAGTGCGCACCATAGCTACAGTCCCACTTTTGCTGGAGCAGCAGGCCTATGATTTCAGCCACTCAGCCACAGCCCTCCAAAACGACTACCAAGCCTTGGGGTGTCTGTTCCGCAAAGTGCGCACAAACACATCAGGCTTTCGCGACTTCGCGACACAGGCCTCTGTCTATTGTGGCTGGTGAGCGACACAATTCATGTATGCAACGGTAGTCCGCATTATTTACAATGCAGTACCGTACCAGACTGGTACCGGTGTACCGGTAGCCGCTGGCCACTAGACTACAAGTCATTATCAGGGGTTCTCAAAATGCGCAAAAACACCTCAGACTTTCGCCCGCCGTACGGCACCATGCATTCATGTCCATGTGCAATGTGCATGCCATCTTGGTTGCTCCGAGGTGCGCAAAAACACCTCAGACTTTCCTCCGCGTACTACACTGTACTATAGCCTCCGCACACTCTCGAGGCCCACCATCTTGGGTGCTCCGAAGTGCGCAATAATGACATTGTATTTGGGGAAAGCATCTGAATGCGATGAGGTGGGCCATGGCTGGCCAGTGATTACCCTATCGAATCGAATCGAATCTACGAGCTAGCTAGAGCTAGAACGGGTCTAACTAAACAGCAGCACCGTATTATTTTATTAAAAGTCTACATCACTGCTCTACGAACACTTCTATTTTGTGCGTCATTCTAATTTCTAATCTAGCCCGACCTCTTCCATGTTGGGCATACGTACATGGTTGTAGTATCGCTATTCCTTGCTCCCAGCCACTGGCCACCAGATACCGTACCAGTAGCCAGGCCATTGACTGTTGGGGGGCTTCGCCGGGTTACCTTGTGGCTGTGGCGGTACGGTGGTACCTTATGTGGCACTGGCTGGCAACACAAGCTCGATTGGCGAGTTTGCTTGGTCGATGATCGGCATCGTAATCGTAGTCTTTTCTATGGTGGCGTTCCTTTCTTTCTTCATGGTGGCGATGTGTGCCGCCACGTCGAGGACCGCCATCGACCAACACGGTGGTCCAACACGGAGGCATTTATCGTGGAACTAGCCGTGGAAAAAGGAGGGCAAAAATTCATGCCAATGACTCAGCTCTCCGACATTGATGATGCAATCACATCATGCAAGGCTATTAATGGCCGCCCACCAAATGATCGTCCCACGGCAAAGAAGGTCGGCAGAGCCTAAAACTAGTAATCGTCTGAGCAATCAACCATGATGTTTCGATCGGCGGCATTGTTTCTGTTGGTATCGCATGATATCGGTAGCCTGTTGAGCCAAGCTTGGCAACGTCCCTTGTTGACATCGTTGCGACGGGCCCATGGGCAAGATTTCTTTTTGTGTCGATCAAAAGCTCCATTTTCCCGCGCTCTTTTGTGTTCAGCTTCGGCCGTTAACCATAACGAAGTGGAGCTGATAGACGATGTTTCATCCCTTCTAAAAGGCCGTTCCTCCAGAGAAGTCTGGCGTCCCAACAAGCAGGATGTGGAAAGGATCTCTTGGGGAAAACCGGCCAAGAAAAAGGGAACTGGTTCGCGGGGTGTCCCTCATCGGATCAATCGAGACGAAAGATTTCTGTTTGATCAGGCTCGTACCAAGGGCTTTTTGGAAGTGGCCGGGAGTGCTTGGAGGTCTCAAAGGAGAGATGCTCCCCTCCTGAATACCTACCGTTCCTGGTGTGATGCCTGTGCCAAGCCATCGATAGTGCTGCACAAGAGTTCCACGGGAGTGGATGATGCCGTCGTGGTCGATATCTCCACATTGCGTTTAGAACTGGCATCCGAATTCCAAGCGGTGGCGGATGCTTGCATGCAACAACAATCAGGAGGAAGCATTCGAAACCAAGGTGGCGTCCATGAAGTCAATGATGAGGAATTGAAAGACACAGAAACTCAAAGCTCTGATGCTTGGGAGACACGCCCCATCTATCAACTTCCGCCCTACTGCATTGTGTGGGATTCTTTGCAACGATCGGATGCAAAAGTACTGGCAAAAACCCTGGCAATGTTCTGCCGAACAGCCGACAAGGGACGGGAGAAGAAGTCCAAGAAACCAGTAGGTGTAAAACCAGGGAAAGGTCGCCGACATGGAGGTTATGGTATCGGATAAACGCCTTATTGGCATTAATCTACTTAATAATTAAACTTTCACTTCTTAGTGACGCAAAAGAACTATGCAAAATGGTACCTTGTGTTCAAAGAATGCTCCGTGCGTGCAAGCCTTCGAGCCACCCCTCAACGTGGAGACACAAGATCGCTGTACCGAGACAAATCAACGTTCCCACCCGAGATAATCACACCACACTTGGATCCTTTTGCAATTGTACCATTGGCAACCAGCTTGCGAAGACCTGCGAGTCCGAGACAACCAGTTGGCTCAACAATCATCTTCATACATTCCCCAAAGAATTTCATGCCTTCTACTAATTCCTCGTCAGATACAGTGATGATATGATCCACCTTGTCCTTCATAATCTCAAACGTCAGCTTTCCAATGTACTGAGTCTGAGCTCCGTCGGCAATTGTTGGGGGAGTTGGAATCTTGACAATCTCTCCTTTTTCCATTGATTGCTGGGCGTCATTGCCAGCTTCAGGTTCAATACCAATCACTTTGCAGTTGGGAGACAGAGCCTTCGCTGATAAAGCACTCCCACTAATCAAGCCTCCTCCACCGACGCATACCAAGAGATAGTCCAGTTCAATATTCTTCTCCGTCTTTAGTGTCTCAATAAGCTCTTTGGCACTCGTCCCCTGTCCAGCAATAACGTACTTGTCGTCATAGGGAGGCACAAAAACTGCACCTTCCTTTTCCTGCAAGTCTCGCGCTAAAGCTTCTCGGTCCTCCTTATAGCGGTCGTAAGAGATCACGGTTGCACCATAGCCCTTGGTAGCAGCAACTTTGAGCTTGGGTGCGTCTTCTGGCATGATAACGGTCGATTTGCAACCAAGGATTTTGGAACTCAACGCAATCGCTTGGGCGTGATTTCCAGATGAAAATGTCAAGACTCCGGCATCTCTTTGCTTGGCACTCAAGTGGGAGAGCGCGTTGTAGCCTCCACGGAATTTGAAGGCGCCCATGCGTTGTTTGTTTTCACATTTGAAAAACGCCGATACACCCAATTCGTCATCCAGCGTACGGCTCGTCTCCACTGGAGTCTCATGCGCAATGCCCTCCAAGATTTCGGATGCTTCCACAACGTCATCAAACGTAGGTAAATCCAATGGTGGCGCAGATGTTGTAGTGGACGCAGCATTCGTGTTGTCTACCGATGTAGCAAATAGGGTTGTTCTCGTTCTAGTAGTGATTCCACCATAGGGAAACAGTGTTAGAGGAGGCTTGACAGTTGGCGGCAACTGATAAGTGTTGTCGATCTGATTTGCAAAAGCAGCGGGTGGCGGGTGCCACTCCATGGAGGCAGAGTCGTTTTCCACCATCTCAGAAGTGGTGTCAGTGTCAGCTTGACCCTTTTCAGTATCACTTGTCATGATCCCACCATACTCAAAAAGTGTTGGTGGAGGTTTGACTGTAGGAGGCAGTTGGAATGTATTGATTTTGTTTGGAAATGCACCAGGAGGTTCATGCCACTCCATAGAAGCAGTATCATTCTGGAAAACCATGGCATTGGACCCAACAACGTCCTTGCTATTGCCTGTCATGATTCCACCATACTCAAAAAGTGTTGATGGAGGCTTGACCGTAGGAGGCAGTTGGAATGTATTGATTTTGTTTGGAAATGCGCCAGGAGGTTCATACCATTCCATGGAAGCAGCATCATTGTCAAATATTGGAGCAGAGACAGTTTTTTGATCCTTCCTTTTTCCAGTCTCTGTAATCCCACCGTACTCAAAAAATGTTTGTGGAGGCTTGACGGTTGGCGGCAGCTGAAATGTATTGATCTGATTTGGAAATGCATCTGGGGGAGGATGCCACTTCATGGAGGAAGCGTCAGACTGCTCAATGATTCCTTCTGAAGGTTTGGTGTCATCGTCTCCCACTGTGACTTGACCGCCCTCGGATGCTGACCTTGGTGGTAGCTGATAGTCATTGATTTGGTTGAGAAACGGTGGGGGAGGCTGATTCCAGTCCATGGATTTGTTTGGATTCTCTTTCTCCTTCATTGCGGGGTCTTCTTTGTTGCTTTCATCGTGTTCACTGCCAGTCAATACTCCTTGATAGTCAAACTGAGACGCCTGTTCTGTCTGAGGAGGCAAGCTGTAGCGGTTGGCATTTTCGTCTGGAAGAAAGGCAAGAGACAGCGGCTGCCATTCCACAGAAGCACTGGCATCCAACGCACTCTGGCTGTCTTTTCGAAGTCTCGGAGCGCCCTTGGAAGTGTTTCCATATTGGAAAAATGAATATGGTTGACTAAAGTGATCATTGTCAGGGCCGTTGAAGTGGTGGTCAAAGGCAACGGGTGGTGGATGCCAGTTCAAGCGACTAGTATCCGTCGGTTCTACACCAACCACTTTTGAATCCGGGACAATGTCTGCATTGGCCGCCGTAGATTTGAGCGGATGGAACCTTTTCGTTCGATGCAAATTGAAGAATCCACAAACGGCGGACGGGGCGATCCATGCCAACAGCACAACGAGTTTGGTTGTTGCGGCCATGTATCTCTCTTCTCTTTACAACACGGTAGTAATCAACACAACACACTTAGATCTAGTCTACTTGACCTCTCTTGTCGTCAAGAAAGAGTGCAAGGCAGTTGAGCTTGGAGAGCTTCTTCTCACAGAGTGTGGGTCGGTTCGAAACTTCAACCTCATCCATTACGTCATTTACCGGGAGACTCTAACTTATTGCTTTGAGTGATGCCAGCCGAATAACAATTGCCCCGTGCGTCTCTCGAACCAATCAAACGAAGACGCGATCTTTCTGGGTGCAAACAACTGTGAATCAATCATTCGATTTTAGCCGCTCCGCTGGCTACCCGTACCTTCACCTTTCTTACTGCACCCAGCTACTTTTAATAGCCAGGAACGAACCAACAGGTTTGTATTTGTGACCTGGTTCTGTGGTACTGGTCTACAGAGGTCTACACAGACCGGCGGTTACAAATACAAACCAGCCGTTATCGTTCCCATCAAAACGAACCGGTACTTAGGGCCGGCTGTGCCCCATCGGTCTCCGGCCTGACCATCGGGCTGTCGGGCTTGCGCCCTCTCTTAAGCTGTCGGTCAGACCTCTGACCTCGGGTCCCTGCCTCAACCCCTAAGTAAGCTGGTCCGTTTTTAATAAATCCAAACCCCGACTGTCTCAAACAGAACAACTTCATCAGGATCTCCTCTTTGTCCCACATCTGGACCCAAACCAGGCCCTACTTCTGGTCTCACACAACACATACCTGGACCTACTCCAGGCTACTTTACTAGGTCCCACACGAGCCCCCACACCTCCTGGACCAACTCCAGCGCCCAAACCAGGCCCAGCTCCTGCTCCTGGACTCAGGACCTCTGTGGAAACTCGAGTCGTGCAACCGATCGTCTCCTAAATCCTTTTGATCGACTCCTATTTAATGGATTTCGTCTCCTATAAATAGGAGACGAAACGGATCGTCTCTTAAATCTTTCGTCTCCTCTTAAATCGTCTCCTATTTTCAACAGATCGTCTCCTATTCTCAACGGATCGTCTCCTAAGTGCACCATGTAAACTGTATGGTATCGTCTTCTAAATCTTTCGGATCGTCTCCTATTTCGAAACGATCGTCTCCTAAATGGAACGTCTCCTAATGAATCGTCTCCTAAATATAGGAGACGAAAGCTATCGTCTCATAAATCATTTCGATCATCTCCTAAGCCTTGGTGTATCGTCTCCTAAGTAATTTGCCACGAATGACGTTTCCACAGAGGTCCAAGTTCCCACACCCCTGCACCTGGAACAACTCAAAATCCTATGGAACGAGTCTATCTCCAGACTCTACACCAACCAGAACGAGCTTCAGGTCCTACCTGGTGCTCATAGAACAACTCGAGGCACAACTCCAGATCCCCACCCGGACATACCGGTACAGAGGCAGTATCTTTGGCTGGGTAGTTTCTGAGGGACTAGCCGGAGAAATGTGGGAGGTTTTTATCCTGCGTTCGGCTTGCTCTCTTAACTGTTAACTGACACGGTTGCAATTTGATCATGCTTCAACATACTTACTGGTGAAAATAGGGTTCGGGATTGCAATGTCCCAGTTGTGTTAACCGGTGAAATCCGGGATTGCAACGTTACTATGTTCCGCGCTTCAACATATAATTAGAGTTTGGGTTGAAGTTAGGGTTTGGGTTCGCTTGAGTGGCAACACAGACCGGTGACAATGCACATTTTAATTTATTGACATTAATGACAATGATAAGCAGTAATTGTATTTGCAACGGGGTTCCTATGAGTTTGGAACAGATGAGGGTTTATTTGTAGGACTACTACAAGACTCCTATTGCATTGAGGAAGTAGTGAACCACAGAAAATAAATGTCCCTACTGCGAAGAGATGCATGATCTTGGGCCACAGCCAGGGTATCACAGGGCAGGATGCGGAGAATACAATATGTCATTTTTGAGAATTGTTATTGGCAGAAGATCATTTGTTCCAAACTACGATTATACTATTTTGAGTACAAGGGGAAGGATGGTGTGAAGGAGTTGATAGATCATAAGAATCAGGCTTAGTTATTAGATATTTTAAGATAAGTTGGCTTTTGACCCATTCCCTTAGCCATTTTCAACTTTTGTATGATCTTGAAGTTCTCCTTCTTGGTCTAGGTAATCTTCGGGTGTAGGTATAGTCCACAAATGGACGATTTATATGAAAAGGGTTCCTGGGATTCATTATTCTAGCTGTTGCTGGTCGATATGTTCTATTCCTCCTTTAAGGCCGAAACGATTGTCATTGGGAATTCCACCTGGCAGGCGTTGTTCCTGCGGCGATGAATTTCGGGAGGTCTTTCCTCGGGGAATAACCTCTCTAGATCTGTTCCTCAGATCTCAGCTAGTAGTTAGGCAGTAAGGGAGCCTCAACTGGCCTTCCTCAGTAGGAGGATGACTGTCAGTCAAGGACTTGGCCAGCGCCACGATGGGAGATCCCTGGTTGGTGAGATTCTCCCTTCACCGGGCTGTCAAGGCCAGCTCCTCAGAGCTGGCTGCCAATGCTATTCAACCACTGCAGTCGGAATGGTTGAATCATGGCTCTCTACCCTAGCATAGACCACACAGGATTGTTCTCTACTGCAAGGCTATGGTATGCTATCTGAGTCTTCAGGTACTTTACTATTTCATTATTCTCAACTATGGACGAAGATGGGTGGATATCCATCTTTTCAGGCAATAAGCCAGCAAGCTGGCTGAGTGCTGCTACTACGAATCTAGAGCTCTTGCCCTGTAATTCATAGCTCCCCACAAGGGCAAATGGATTCGCTCTTGCGGTAATGCCACAGGTGAACGGTACGATTACCTACGGCTAGCTACACTAAGACTCCCCATAGGATCGGCATCCTTGGGATCAAATTGTTGCCTCTGGAACAGGACGATTGACTTCGAACTGATGTGCTTGAAGTCGTCCTTGGGTCTCCCCAGGAGTGGTCGTACCAATCGGCGTGACCAGCTTGTTGTCTTGAACCAAAGCGACTGAATCGATCAATGTCAGCTTGATTGCTATGTAGGATTCTTCATCACTGCTTGTGTTGCGAGGCCTCAGGAACGGTGGGACTGCAACCTTCTCTTCTTGTCGTCACTCACTGAAACGTGAGCCATTCACAGTACTGGGGTGTGCATGGTGGTAGACACCATCTTGGAGCCTTAGCCAATGGTAGGTGCTAGGCTGGGAGAGCCGAACGAATCAACACTGTTGAACATAAGCGTTGATGGTGTTACAATTCAATGATGACCTTCTTTCTTCAGCGGTTTAAATTACTCATTTAGCTTAACAAGCTAGAGTGATCTGCCCATTAAGACCCGCAGGAGATTAAGACTATTGTAATATTCTAGGCTGATACCTTAAGACTATATTATTATTATGGCTATATAGCTTAAGACCTGGCTGAAACTAGGGAACAAATGTCAATTCATGTTTGCCAGGGTCTACGGCAAATCGATACGATTGTGGAAGGCAACCAACAGTGGTACATCCTGGAAATTTTGATGGCTTTGGCGCTCACCTGGCTTCTTTTCCTGCTTTGCGCAACAGATTTGAATACAAATATTGTCGCTTAAGGAGGAGGGTGATTCTTCTCATTCAACCAAGCCTACGATCGAATTGTTGCCAAAGCAGACAAGGCGCAAAGAATGAGTGTCTGTCTTCATTTGCGTAGAACGGTGTTTGATAATCGTGGAGTGTTGGATCAGTGGAGTATGGTCCATGTTGGTCTTTATGCTATTCGCGAGACAAGTGTTCGGCTTGGCATCGTTCCTTTGCTGCGGTCAATTTGGATCCACTCTCGAGAGTTCCCTTTTCAGAGTGGTGTGAAAAGATCGCTGACTTCATGATGGGCGGTGACTCTTCAAAACCGAGAAGCACTGGATAAGTATTCGCTTTTGCCATCGTGTTGGCACGGAATGACACCAGAAGAAAAGAAGTCGGCATTGGCCGTCTACAAGTTGCACGATTGTTGGTCAGTCGAATGCATCACTGCCATTATGGAGCAGACATTCGTCCCTGCCAGTCAATTGCAGAATTTGCGGGTCTGTATTGAAATGGCAGTGTAAGATCCTTCGTTCACTCGATAGGATGCTTCCCTCCAAAGAGGCAGTAGCTTTAGCGGCTGTTGATCCAGAAGTTTCATCGGCTGAAGCCAAGCGGAAGACGGCTATGATGGCTGACTGTTCTGCTCAAGCCGAAAGCAAAGAAGGGTCTTGAGCTGTTCACCACATGTGCGAGAAGCGTCAATGTTTGATGCCAAATGTCCACGTCAAAGCATCTAGATGTGTCCATGTCGGAGAGAATCGAAAGAAGCTGTCCGAGAGCCGTCGAGACATGGTGCGGCAAGAGAAAGATGGTTTCATAAGAATGTGGTGGCAACGAACAAGAATGAAAGCTGCCAGGAGGAGATGGATGGGAGTGGCAAGGTTAAGAATCACGCTGCCTTGGTCAATGATGAAAAGGCCTTGCTGACATTGAAAAACAAGCAGATACTCACCGATAGTTTGGCTCAGATCGACGAGCTACACAAGAAGCAAGGAGTGGAAAAGAAACGCCAACCACAGAAAGCCTCAACAGCTTGGCTCCAAAGGCAAAGGAGAAGCTCGGGCGAAAGCATGTTGTTGCTTCCCTGACTAAGCTCGAGATCGTTTCCTGTTGACAGTCTACTTTGGTCCAAAGCGGACACCAAATGGCCAAGGGAAGCTGGTAATTGAATTGGAGAAAAGGATTGAGTCCAAGCCTGATGTGCTACAGGTACAGTTGAAGCTAAAGCAGCTCAGTAGGTTGTTGCTACTGGAATG